CGGCAGTGTAGGAAAGACGGCCTTATATCTATTCTAGGCCCTAGGGGTTAAACGTTAATCGATAATGCGTTTAACAGTTAGCCGCCAATCGAAAAATTATTATTGATAGGTGATCTGTTAAGCCTCTGACTCTGTGATTAACCGTCAGTCATCGGTGCCATTAGCTACTATTATAGCGGTTGACCACCTACCCGCTTGGAAGAGGGAATGGGCCTGAGTTCAGATCCTTAAGGCCTAATCCTTAAGGAAAAACTTAAATAAACTCTATTTTTAGTTAATTAGTTAATAAAGGTATTTAGGGGGATTGTAATTAATATTAAAATTATAATAATTAACCCTAATAAGGAGTTTACCCACATGTTGGCCAATTTACCCAACCCTAATTAGTATTGAAATTCCGTCTTTTGTTCCTTCCTTCCCGATCACGACAGTAAGTCTCTCCGTCCGACGTCGACGCTCCCGGTTTCTGTAAGGACCTCCTCTTTCCCGCTCCTGCTACGCCGGCTGCTTCGCTGGACGCCGGCAGGCCTTATGGACCTCCTCTTCTCCATTCCTGCTACGCCGGCTGCTTCGCTGGATCAGTCGGAGCTGCAGAGGCCTTCTTGAAGACCCACGACGTCAACTTCTCCCAAAGGCCTCCCGCCCACTCCGCCGACATCCTCGCCTACGGCTGCACCGACATCGTGTTTGCCCCCTACGGCGACTACTGGCGCCAGCTCCGCAAGATATGCACCGTCAAGCTACATTATTAACATAATAACATTGTTCCACTTTTTGCATTTTAACAAAATACGGTTTTCAATAATAATAATAAGCTACATTATTAAACTTACGCAGTCGTGACTTGACGACGATGTGACCCAGCCACGATGTAGTGGCTCCAGGTCGGGATTGCACCCAGAACGCGATGGCTAGCCAGCGACGGGTTTGCAGCCATTTTAGGGTTCGGAGGAGGCCGATTTTTCCGATATGAATTTTCAAATCAATAGTGAGGTATCGCAAACATGGTTTCTACTGTTTTCCTTTTTAATTATTAATCACATTAAAGTTTTATTATATTCCAATCTTACTCTTTTAGGTAGTTAACTAATTATTACTAATGTTTTTCTCTCCCCTTCTCCTATTGGCTGGAGATGGTTTAAGATCTTCCTTAAGGATTAGGCCTTAAGGACCTGATCTGACTCGCTAGCAGCACACTTCCTTCTTTTCTTCAATTTCGTCTTCTCGCCTCTCTTTTTTCCTCCGCAAATAAAAAAACAAACTCACCCTCTCTGTGAACCAATGGAAGGAAGAATACACCCTATTCTCCTTCACACGCGAACAATCGACCCCCAGTCTCCACCTCTTTTCTCCTTTTTCCGTCCACGTAAAATAAAAGAGGGCTTACGGTGTCGACAACATCGAAGCCGTTCATAGTCGCTTCATTCTTCATTTGAGCTAAGAAGACAAGGAGATTGGAGTGAGCTAAGAAGACAAAGAGATTGGAGTAAGTGCGTGCAAAATGGTCAGGGGAGTTTTTTCCTTCAATGAGTGTGGCGGATAGCCTATTTTGAGTGGTTAGTAACTCGTATCAATTACTAATCGGTTTAATTGCTAACGGTCGGTTATTAATTACTTATGATTTGGTAACTCGATAAGAGATTGGTCTTCTCTTCTGTAAAAGACCCGCATTCTCCCTAGCGGAGGACATTTTAAGTTTTTAACCATTAATTGTCAGTTAGCGGTTAAACCGGCGTAACTGTTTATCACCCCACTGACCACTTATAGAAGCATCAAGACCGTTAATTAATTAAATTTATGATCGTCGGGAAATCATTTTGTGGAAATTATTTAAACAGGCTGAAGCACCGTGGGCCGGACTGGAGCGGGCTGTACCAGCACGGAGACTGTTATTTGGCCCATCAAAGGTTGGCCATCATCGACCCTGCTTCCGGCGACCAGCCTCTCTTCAACGAGGACAAGAACATCGTCGTCACCGTACCGTCCTATTTCCTTCCGTCTCCTCTCCGTTTCGCCGCCGGTTGATTAAACCTTGACCGGGAATTGAATCATTTTACAGGCGAATGGAGAAATATACAACCACGAGGAGCTGCGGAAGCGCTTGCCCAATCACAAGTTCCGGACCGACAGCGACTGTGAAGTCATCGCTCATCTGGTTGCTCCTCCGTCCCTTTCTCGGTGAATTTGGCTAGCTGAACTCTGTTTCATACTTTGATCCATCGCATTTTCAGTTGGGTGATTGTTTTTGCTTGACAATGATTTAGCTTGTTCTCTGCGATTGTTGCAGTTCGAGGAATATGGGGAAGATTTCGTGGACTTGTTGGACGGAATGTTCTCGTTCGTGCTGTTGGACACTCGCGACAATAGCTTCGTCGTTGCTCGGGACGCCATTGGCATCACCTCTCTGTACATCGGCTGGGGACTCGACGGTAAGGTGTTTCAATCTTTTTTCTTTTCATACGCATGAATGGTTGTCGGCCAAATTCGGACTGGAAGGAAACAGGATAAACTGTTACGTGACATAGAGATTGATATCTTTGTTCAGGCTCTATTTGGGTTTCTTCTGAACTGAAAGGTTTGAAGGATGATTGTGAGAATTTCGAGTACTTCCCTCCCGGCCATTTATACTCCAGCAAATCCGGTGGATTGAGGCGATGGTATAATCCACTATGGTTCTCTGAGGCTGTTCCTTCCTCGCCCTACGACCCAATCGCTGTCCGAAGCGCTTTTGAGATGGTGACAATAACTGAATGTTAATTTTGTTGTGCTGAGGGAGAATGGGAGATGAAGGAAGATGGTGCTTATTGTTCTTGGTTTATGACGCAGGCTGTGATCAAGAGATTGATGACTGATGTTCCTTTCGGTGTTTTGCTCTCTGGTGGACTGGATTCCTCTCTAGTTGCTTCCATCACCGCTAGGCACCTGGCGGGAACTCGAGCTGCCAAGCAATGGGGTTCCCAGCTTCATTCCTTCTGTGTTGGCATTGAGGTGAAATTTTCAAATGTTCCAGCTTTGATTCTTGAATTTGGCTAGTCCTCCGGTGAGCAGGATCGTTCCCTGTGATTTAGGAATATTTGGTTTTTGAGAATTCGTTCTTGTCTGGATCTTATGCAAAGAAGAATGTATTTCCTGGAATACATGATAAGATCTATTAGCCAAAGAATACATTTACAAATCCATATGTAGAATGCATTAATCTCTTATGAAACATCTATTTCACATGCATTGGTGCCTATGGATACCCTCAGCGTTCTTCACTTGTTTATTTTGTAGGGGTCTTCTGACTTGAAGGCTGCAAGAGAAGTTGCAGACTATCTAGGAACCATCCACCATGAATCCACCTTCACGGTTCAAGATGGGATCGACACGATTGAAGATGTGATCTATCACATCGAGACGTTTGATGTCACCACCATTAGGGCAAGCACACCTATGTTCCTGATGGCCCGGAGGATCAAGGCTATGGGTGTGAAGATGGTCATATCTGGTGAAGGCTCTGATGAAGTGTTTGGTGGGTATCTTTACTTCCACAAAGCACCTAATAAGGAGGAGTTCCACCGTGAGACGTGTCGCAAGATCAAAGCACTTCATCAGTATGATTGTTTGAGAGCCAACAAGGCCACATCTGCTTGGGGGTTGGAAGTCCGAGTTCCGTTCTTGGATAAAGAATTCATCGACGTTGCCATGGCTATCGACCCACAGTGGAAGATGGTACGTATAAATATGCCTAAGCTTGGGGGTTGGTTCTGTCTTTTTAGACTCGTCATTTATTTTACTAAGTTTTCATGTGTACTTGGTTCCAGATTAAGCCAGAGGAAGGAAGGATAGAAAAATGGATTCTCCGGAAAGCTTTTGATGATGAAGAACGCCCTTATCTACCTAAGGTTGATTCTATTGCCAGATTCTGTGCCGTCGATTCATATTAACAACTGAGGTGGAAGTTTAAAATGATCATGTTTGGCTTTCCTTTCCACAGCATATCTTGTATAGGCAGAAAGAGCAGTTCAGTGATGGTGTCGGATATAGCTGGATTGATGGCCTCAAAGCTCATGCTGCCGAACATGTATGCATATCAATCTCAGCCTTGCTACTTCAACTGCCTCTTCTTTTCCATTGAATTTAGTATAACTTCTGATTTGTTGCTTCTGCATGAAACCCCTCTTAGGTGAGCGATAAAATGATGCAAAATGCTGCTCATATCTTCCCGCACAACACCCCTAGCTCCAAAGAAGCTTACTACTACAGAATGATCTTTGACAAATATTTCCCGCAGGTGAACAAGACATTAGAACTTAAAACTATAGAATGAATGTAGTTTGAGCCTTCCAGAAGCTAATTTGGGTAGTTTCTATGGATTGAATATACAGAATTCAGCCAGTGTGACCGTTCCTGAAGGAGCAAGTGTGGCATGCAGCACAGCCAAAGCTGTGGAATGGGATGCTTCCTGGTCAAGCAATCTTGATCCTTCTGGCAGAGCTGTGCTGGGAGTTCATCAAGCTGATGCCGTGGATAATGGAAATAAAACCTGATACGTGGTACGTGAGTGATTGATATGTATACACGGTCTAGTAAGAATAATTTGTTATGTTGACTTGATTTAAACTCCAAATAAAACTTACTTACAATTTGTCACGTTGAATAGTAAAAAGGGTGAACCTAGGTTGATATGAAGGACCTCCACACCAAATCGGTTGTCCTGAACAATAATGGATGCTCTAGTCGATATTCATCTCCTATATAAAATATATAGTTAGGAACTTATGTTGGTGTAGACATCTTCGTATGAAACTAATCGACGTAAGGATGAACATGGTTGGCTGCTATAAGTGTCACAAAATGTATCAAATATTGACAATGTATCTGTCGACAATATCGGTTAATTGGTAAACCAAAATTATTTTTCAGACCCTAGATAAATTTTAATTGGAGTTGTTTTATCAAGTCATCATACTCATACCGGTAAAAAATGTCGAAATTCTGTACTCTATTATTAGTCTTTTGCATTCTTCCATTCGAAAATTTTATCTATAGATGGCGTATAAAATCAAGGTATGTCTTGAATTACATCTCATATACGAATTACATGTCATAAAATAAAAATGAAAAAAAGTTTACAAAGTGTCACAAATACATAGCAAGTACTCGTAAGTTGTAACTCGTGAAACTAAGCGATTATTGAGAATCATCATGACCTTCATTGTACAGACCTTTCATTTCATAGTGTTGGAAATACTGAAGAAGTTTATAAAGGAGCTCCCACCATATACCATGTATGAAACATATAATTATGCAGCAGCAGTAGAAGCACCTTCCATCAACTGCTTCACCTTGGCAATGTACTCGGTCATTGCCTCTTCTTTGCTCTTCCCTGAACAACAATCATGAAACCCACAATCAAATGATCAACCAGCTATGGTTTTCCCCTCTAAATTGGTCAATCTTCAAGTAGATCAGGTCGACCATTTCAATCAAGTTAATCAAAGAAGCATAAGATTGACACCTTCAACTGCTTTCCAGGCGTCCCATTTCGCCCTTTCAGTTGGACTGAACATTCCAGGACGATCTGCATATACAACTAACTGATCAGCATCCTTTGAAACGATGACAATATATCAGATCAGGGTAGAAAGCATGAACAGACACCGAACTGAGATGGGTTTATAGAGTAGTATTCTATAGCTAGATACAAGATGTGGAATATGGATGTTTGATTACTTACTGGTGTTGACAGAACCAAGGGTGGATTGCTTGAAGAGTCCATAGAGGACGAGCTTATCGGCATCCTTCGTCGCCGGAGGCAGTGACTTCGCCTTCTCAGCATACTCCTTGAACTCCTCCTGTTCAACATATAACCACAGTAATGATTCGAACACCTAAATTACTCATCGATCAATCGCAAAAACCAAGCTACTGACACTCAGAAGGCGGAAAGAAAGAAATTAAAAGGGGCAGATTAAGAAACCTCCAACGCCATTCTTATGTGTACAGCTTCTTGGTCTTTCTGTTCTGGGTTTTCCTGTGTATATATAGCTTCACTAGCAGTGCTGGGCTGTGTATTTGTGAGGGAAAAAAGGACGAGATTAACAAAGGCACTCCATCTTGGTAGATCCACCGACCCACCAACTAATTAATGTATGGGAGTTGTATCCACCGACTACTCTTAATCCAGCGAAAGAAACAAGAAGCAGGGAAAGAAACAGGATGCAACAATTAATCATGAGAAAATTTGGCCTCTTGTGAAAACCCAGAAGATGCAATTCAATTCTTTCAAAGTCACGCAACCCAGATCACCATGGAGCTCTCATCCCACATCACCCAAAGCAAGAAATTAACTCACCGGGAAAAAGGATGAAGCGGCGAAGACTACGAGATGGGAAGAGAAGCACGCGTCGAGAAGAGCAGCAGTCGACGGAGGCGAATTCAGCTCGAAGGACGATAAGTAGGAGACGGCACCGATGTCAGCTGGATGGAAGAAGAACACTTGGCGGGGATGAAACGAGGATACGGCTGCGAGAAGGGAGTGAAGGCGACAACGAAGGCACGGCAGCGACGAGATGCGGCAGGGAACGGCTCAGAGAGACGAGACAGCAGCTGGAGGTGGAGCCGAGAAAAGCCCACCATCGGCCCAAATCAAAATACCCAAGTCTTAGTCCAGTGCTGGAAAAATGTCGTAGGCCCAAGAGGCAGAAGATAACCAGCCCATAAAGGCCCACAGCGGGCCTAGAAAACAATCAGCCCGCTTCTTCTCTCTCTCTCACCAAGCACAGTCCCAACTCGGCAACTCCCACGCTCTTCCGCTGCTGCTGTTTTCCCGTGTCGCCGTCGCCAACAAACCTTTCTTCATCACTGTCTCCCACCCTCTTTAGATTAAACAATAACAATAATGTCCATGCTCTCTTTCAGAGCCACACGGCCTTACTTTTCTTCGCCATTTCCCCCAACCTTCCCCTCTCCCAATCGCCGCCGATCCTTCCCCCTCTCCTTCGTCAGAATGTCGACCACCCCCGCTCCGCCGGAAACCATCGAGCACATCGTGCTTTTCAAAGTCAAGGAGAGCGCCGAGCCTTCCAGAGTCCAATCCATGCTCAGCTCCCTCAACGCCCTCGTCTCCCTCGACCCGGTCCTCCACCTCTCCGCCGCCCCGATCCACCGGCTCAAATCCTCTCCCTTCCCCTTCACCCACCTCCTCCACAGCCGCTACGCCTCCAAGGACGACCTCAAGGCCTACGCCGTCCACCCCAGCCACGTCACCACCGTCAAGGAGTGCGTCCTCCCCGTCTGCGAAGACGTCATGGCCGTCGATTGGATCGCGCAGGACCTTCAGGGACCGGTCGTTCCGCCGCCGGGATCGGCGGTTAGGTTGAGTTTCCTGAAATTGAAGGAGAGTTCGGCGGCGGAAGCCAAGGGCGAGATCCTCGGGGTGATTGGAGAGGTGAAGGATAAGTTCGAGGAGATCCAGCAGCTGACCGTCGGGGAGAATTTCTCGCCGGAGAGAGCGAAAGGTTATTCGATCGCGTCCCTGGCTGTGTTCCCTGGGGTTGGTGAGATCGACTCGCTGGATGCCAAGGGAGAGATGGTGAACTCGGAGAAGGATAAAGTTAGGGAGCATTTAGAGAGCGTTATTGTGCTCGATTACGTGGTGCCGTCTTCACAGCCGGCTAATCTCTGATATCAATCGTTCTCTCCTTGAAACCCCTCCTCTGGTAGGTTGTGCTTAACTTTCTGTGACTGCTTCTTGATCTGAAAAACCTTCTGAAGTATGGTTAACTTTCCATTTGATCATGCAATTTGGTGAATGTTGGGTGTGCTCTGGTTTTCCGACTTGTTGATGTTGTGCTTGATCATGCTTAGCATACTTTGGTGGTTGATTGTGTTTCGGCTTATGCCGAATTCCTTAGTGTAAAATGTATATACTAGTGGAAGGTCTGGCGTATGTAGAACAGTTACCCTTTTGCTTTCTCTGCTAGGTCCGCAATGTACATATACCCTTTTGCTTTCTCTGCTAGGTCTGCAATGTAGCTTTGTGCGAAATCTAGTGGATTTACGGTTTCGCGATATCTTTATGGATGTTTTGTTGGTCCATTGGAAGATGATGGTGATGGTACTGTTTCAGTATCAAATGCACCACAAACTAGCTGGTTTCTTGTGTCTTTTGATGAGAGGGAATTGCAACACAGATATTAGGATGTTAATTATGGAGTTTTGAGAGATCGGCTTGATATTGATTGTGTCACTGGACGAAAGGTTTATTTTCGGTCCATAGGAATTGCATCCATGTCCTTTCATGAAGAAAGATTGATCCTTTTGGTGGCTGGTTATGCAGCATTACGTCTTAGGAACTCTTATTTGCATGTAGAGGTTCTTCGAAGAAGGTTGTTTTAGTTGCCTGAGGAGCTCTTAAGTTGCTTTAACTGTGATTTTAGAACACATTTTAGATGACTTCGGAGGTGTTTCTACTCTACGCCGTATAATATTCAGAGCTCTATGCCCCTCATTGTCTACCCCCATTTACATATCCCTGTTCCTGCAAGACTGCAAGTGATACTTGCCAGTTTGATCCAGGTCGTCTTCGTATCTTCTCTCGTCGTGACAGATGCTACAGAAGAAAAATTCAAGCTGCTAAACTTTGGATTTGCTGGACTTTGTATGCTGCTGTTGCTGAGTGGTGAGTTATGAGGACTTGCGCGTACAGTTTCCAACCTCAAGTAGTGATCTTTCTTCTAAATTATGATGCTATGAGCCCTGTGACGAGAATAGAAGTTACATAAAATGTGTATCCATTCCACTAAAAACTTGAAATGAAATCTGCAGAAACAGTAACATCTGTGTTTGCTGCTTAAAGAAATGAAGCCCCCTTCAAAGATCAAATGGGTGAGGTGAGGTCAAAGTTAAAGCCATCTAAAATGTGTGCACTTTGTTCAACTCGCAATCTATCTACTACACTTTTAGATCAGCCAATTGTTTAGAATCAAAACAGCTTCTCTTGCTCGGAGCTAATCACTTTGTTCAATGCCTTAACCTCTTCCTCGCCAACAATAGGCGATCAGCATGGAAGCCAAAGCAACCACCACCATTGATGACTTTAGTAGTGTGTAATAAATCAGCGATGCTGCAGGGACCATGGTGTATGTACATTGAGACGGACACATGAAAGACGAAATGATACAAATATGTGCAGTGGAGCAGCCGATGTGGCTGGTAGCCTAATTCGGAAGTTGATTGCTACAGAATTGTACGCCCAAGGGATCCAATACACATTGATGATTCTTGATAATAAAAAAGTATTATTGGTGGAGATGGCCACAGCTCGCTACCCGGTTCCCTTATTTGGATCGTGTGGAGGGGCTCGGCAATTGACTCATTTATTTGCATCCTTCCACTTAACCTCTGCTATCAATTCCTCCCACCGGTTTTTTGTCTCAATCGATTTTGCTTCCGACGAAGAGAAGTGTGGGTTTTATATAATTTTGTTTTATTTTAGGGTTATTTGTATAATATGTCTCTCTACTGTGTCGTTTTATCAAATAAGTCCATCAAACATGTTTCTGTACTTTGATAAAATAGTCAAACATGCCATTTTGTTAAAATTTTCATCCAAAAACCGTTAACCACGACCAAACTTTGGTTTGGAGGGCACAAATGTCTAAAATATCTCTAATAATTTCACTTTAGAATTTTTTTTTGCTCTTTTGTATGGCCCGATAATTATAATAATTTCATTTTGACTGGACCCAGAGAACTAAAAAAGGGGACAAAACTGACATTTTCCCTCCCATTTGCCGATGTCGGGTCGTCTAAATCTTGGTTCAATCATGATTGACAATTTTTTGGTGAAAATTTTACCAGAAGGGCATATGTTTGATCATTTTTTCAAAATATAGGGGCATGTTTGATGTAAAAAATAGTAGAAGAATATGTTTGACAAAATGACATAGTAGAGAGGGCATATTATACCTATAACCCTTTGTTTTATTATTTAGGGTTATTAAACATGTAATTTCGTCTAAATTTTCATTGGTCTTTCTTCGAAGTTCGGTCTTGTTTTTTTTTTTATCGACTTAATTCACATATGAGGTGGAGGTGAAAGTGAATGAATCAAGAACAAATCTCTCACAAAACTATCAAAAACAAATCTCCATCGAAACTACTCCTAATTATAATTTCTAAACTATTAATATAGATTAGAAATCACATATGCAATTACAAAATGAATTGCATTGATAAGAATGATGTTTCAATTATATCAATTGAAATGACCACTTATTGATCGAAGCTCTTATGATTTTAGCTCTTGTTATCATAACCGGACCAGATCAACGGTCTCATCAGTAGAACCACTTTGTTCGAAGCTCTTATGATTAGCTCTTCTTATAAGAACTGAATCATATTAGCGGCAACACTAATAGAATAGACAAACCAATTATAATAGCAATTCGGTTCATTTAATTGGACCATTAAAGATGAATCTAACGTGTTTTCATGGTTTGATATTGAACAAGATGCACCACCCTGGTTTGACTAGTTCGTTGGTTCTTTCTTTTAGCCATAAATTTTTTATGAATTTTTTTTATAATGTGAACTGAGACAATCTGGTACTACTTCTTCTATTTATTGTTCTTCATTTTCTGTCTTTCTACTAGATTTATGAACTTCACTACCGACTATCGTCCTAATTATTAATTCTAAATTTAATGTATGATTTCTCTTGTGAGATACTTTGAATGATATATAAGAAGTTTTGGTGTTTCATTATATGAGTTTGGAATTATTAAGTCCTAAACTAATTTGTTATATATGCCTTACATTTTGTAGGATCTGTATAGTTCTGTAACGGTTAACTTACGATTTTACCATGGTTAACCATTGCATCACTAACTTCTCATGTTCTCAAAACATAGATTTTAGCCGTGGAGGAGTTAGGCGGAAGTCAAAAAGGACTATGACTCTCCTCAATTTTGAAATATTAATAGATGTAAAATGCATAACAATTGTTTGACAAATACATTAGTCAATAAAATCTTAGCCACCTTCTCAATTATATCACAGTTCACATTGGATTCAAATTTCTAATTCTGCCACTATTTTCACCATCAATTTCTCATACTAGTGAGAGCCTACGAGAGAGTGAGTAATAATGAAATTAAAATCGAAGAATACGCCATGTATATACGTACGTACTTTTCACCCAAAGTAATCTTCGCATAGATAGCAAAGAAGCACGAACACGACAAAATATCCCACCACGACCGAATGACATCATCATCAACGGGATGGGAATCATAAACACGCACAAAATGACACGAAACGCCAACCTCGTACGGGCGCTCTGCTTACCAGGCCGCCACCAGCCCAGAGGCCCATCGAACGAAGGAAGGAAGGTGGCGCTGTATATATATATATATAAACCACTACGCCAGAGCAATTACTCTCCCACTCTCCCTTCTTGAGCTATGCTCAAGACTAACCGATCGTCATCAGCTCTGATTCCGCCGCTACCTCGCTGCCGATCATGGGCCGGAGCCCCTGCTGCTCCAAGGACGAAGGGCTGAACCGCGGCGCGTGGACGGCCCACGAGGACCAGCTCCTGACCCGCTACATCGACTCCCACGGCGTCGGCAAATGGCGCAACCTCCCCAAGAAGGCCGGCCTCAACCGCTGCGGCAAGAGCTGCCGCCTCCGCTGGCTCAACTACCTCCGCCCCGACATCAAGCGCGGCAACATCTCCCCCGACGAGGAGGACCTCATCATCCGCCTCCACAAGCTCCTCGGCAACAGGTATTTAACTACTGGTAATTCCATTTTTTTTCTTCCCCCTTTCTTCTGAATGCTGACCAAGTGTTCGATGATTTGCCTGTGAGAATTAAGATGGTCTCTCATAGCCGGGAGGCTGCCTGGGCGGACGGACAACGAGATCAAAAACTACTGGAATACCAATTTGGGGAAAAGGGTCGACCCGCAAACCCATCACCGCCTCTCCACCACCACCACCGCCGCCGCCGCCGCTTCCCCTGCTTCGGCTCATCCCAGCAAACTATCAGTCAAGCCCCGGCGGAAGCTCGTTCCCCCACCCGCAACTGCCACGGCCCCGGTCCGGGCCAAGCCTGCAAAGTGCTCGAAGAAGCTCGTTTTCTATCCACGGCGGCAGGAGGAAGAGGAAAACAATAATAATAATAATAATGATGACGCTGGAGTAATTTTGGCCGGGGACGGGGAGAAGGCAGAGACGAGCAGCCTGGCTGCCGTGGAAGCTTCCTCGTCGTCCTGCGCCCCCGCGAATAACGGGCTCTCTGGCGGCGGAGATGACAACGGTAATGAGAATATTATTAATAGTGGCCGCCGTGATGCGAATAACCCGCTGCTAGGGACGGATGAGTTAATAATGACGGTGGATTTTGGCGGGGCAGCAGGGGCGGAGATCTCGCTGTCAGAGCTGCTGGCCGGCTGCGATGATTTCAGGGATTTGTGCGATTTCAGTCATCATCATCCCCCCCACACAGCTGGATGCAGCGGCGGCAAGAGCAGAGACGAGGTGGAGATGCTGATGGCGGCCGGCGGCTGCGGGGAGATGCTCATTTCGTCGGAGGAAATGCTGGAGGAGGGTTGGGATATTGACGTCACGGCGGCGACCGCGGCGGCGAGTGATCTGAATGGGTTCGGTGGTGCTGGATTTCTTGGCACCGGCTGCGGCGTTGACGATGATGAGGAATGGCTTGGCATTGCGGAATGCTCGAGTAGTTAAAAGAGTTTACTTCATTGGTGTTTTGAAGATTTTTCTTTTATCATTACTAGTAAGGAAAGCCCGCGCTTCGCGACGGGCGAAACTTTGTGATATGTGACGCACTACATATAGCAATTTTCATGAACGGGTACAAATAGTGCAAGCAAACACATTAACGGCCCCTTTGGTTGACATAATCATAGAGAGATCTGAAAGGTTTCCGAAAAATGTGCAAACTCATGAGAGTGATAGAACAGTAGGTCATAAAAGGAAAAAAATATGTCTTGTTGCTAAAATTTGCAGGCTCATATAGTTTATGCCAAAGATTACAACTTGTGAGCTTCATTTATGCATGTCATGGTAAAGTTGAAGCACAAAGTACAACTGTGTAAATTTCTGGCTAAAAAAGTGAAGACCTAATTGGACATCATGAAACATAAACATTGCTGGGCACTTAGAAGTTGTGCTGCAGCATTTGAACCAATTATGATTTATGTCATGACACATTCAAGCCCAAACATCAATTAGCATTCATATTTAAAAAAAAGACGCCAATCATCACAATGTATGGATTTGAAGCAAAGGGAAACAACTGATCAGTTAAGACGATCAATGCAGTGATTGCGGTCGTCCTTTTCACGACCTGACCTGACGTATAGATCTCAAGCAAGCAGAAACAATTTTCACATCATTCTTTGGAAGGAAAGTCTCTCCTATCGATAAACACAACCATTAGCTTTCAGCAAAGAAATCCCTCCCATAGATAAACCACATCTTCATTCAATTATAATTCATTCCATTGCACACTTTGACTTATGATGAGAATGTTAGAAGTACCAATCTCAACGACTACAGGATATGAAACACTATTTTGCCTAACCTTACTTATAATGCAACGCTCGTGCTAAGGAAAAAAAAACACGAAGCCAAATTCTACAGCATGATTACCATCTCAAAAGTTAACCAACCCACCTAGCCGCCTTCCCATATTTTCTGGTGCAATATTAAGCGCAACTCATCTCCTATAATTTTGCCCCTCATCAACAAAAACAATATGGATCATCATCCTGTGCAAGTGCAACTAAAGGAAGTATGAATAATCAGATGAGGAATTTCTATGATTGAAATGCAAAAGCGTACAGCAAAGGAAAATTGGAATCAAACAAAACAATATGGTTCAAGTCCAATCAGTAAGTTGTATATTGTGGCTTCCTCACTGAAAGCAACCAAACAAAAAAAGAAGCAGGAGTGTGTCTCGTCCTGTACTATGATGGAGATGTAAAAGCTGTGAACACAAGCATAAAAGTTGGTTAACAAAGAGCACTATCCCACCTTCTTATCTAAGTTCGTTGTTTATTTCTTCAAATGGATTCCACTGTGATGATGACATGCCTTTTTCACTCAACTATATCAGAAAAGTAAAGCAAAGTACTTTTCTTGGACTCTCTCTATTATGCGTTTTTCTTCAAAAGGATACAACTGAGCAAATTCCTGGCCTGCCATTTGCAGTTACTGAAGTTCCTCATGATGGTCGAACCTAATGCCTTGTGTGGTGGCAAAGTCCTTTCAGGAAACCACAAGGTTGAAGCTGCACCAATATCACCAGTAGGTTAGTGTGTGAGGAAAACTTATACCTGGAACTATAAATATGTGTGCAATTGTGATTTCTTCGGACTATTTGGCTACCTAATAGGACATGATAAAATTGGGGAAGCACCAATATCAATTAGGAACCTATTCCTCTTAGTTTTACCCTGCTAATGAAAATAAGGAGCCACTTATCACCCAAAAAGCTGCTCTTCATTTGCCACGCTAAATTCCTGTCATAGTTCCACCAGAGAACTAAAATACCAAATGCTAAAGTTAAATATATCAAGACATCAAACCAATATAATATAATGAGAAGGAAAACGAATGCAAGCTGAAGATGGTTCAATCTGGAGCAACAAATTAACAAACCCAATTACATAGGTGGGGGAAAAAAGCAAATCATATTTCAACAGAGGTAAACTAAAAGATCATCCTTGTAAAGTGCCAGACAACAACTCCATTTGAGGCTTCCATAAGTGCTAGCATGGAAGAGGAACACTGATTGCATATAAGAGAACTGGTTTTCTAAAGGGCTTGTCAAATGGAGAACTGATAACAGGGTCCAACTTATATAACACTCTAAAAAAAGTGTTGAAATCCCACCATCCACATGTTAATTTCCTATTTTATATTTTTTTTTGTGGATTATAAGAAAAACAGCAGCCTAGATATAATTAGTAGCATATATAAATACATATCACCCAGTCAGATAATATAATCAAGCTGCTAATGAACTTGAATGAAAAGGGAAACCTGATGAAAAGATGGTGGAAACAGAGATATATGCTTAATTATGTATTGAACGATAAGTGATGCACATCAAGTATAGGAAAAACTCACATCAGATGCTACGTAACTTAGCTCTAAAAAATAATGAAAAAGAGCAAACAGTTTGACCTGACTGTCCCTTTGTAGCAAAATCCAAGTTAACACCCAAAACAAAGATAAATAAACACGTATGATGGCATAAACAGCTGTAGGAAGATGACACCGCCGAAGGAGAAAGAAAAGGAATCAGTCCTCAAGTATTGATTCAGGAACCCAATTAAAGGCTTCGAATCATAAACTGGAACTAAAATAAAGATTTGAGTAATAACACTGTAGTTATAAACATAATCATTTTAAGCACAAATGCAGAATACATGGCTAGCTCTAACATGGCTTAGAATAATAGTGGGAAAAGCAAGAGGAATGGAGTCTGAAGATTATTTTTGCCATAAAGTAGTGGGCAAGAAAACGTGATATTACAAAACACACGACTGGCGAAGCAATTCTGCTCTAAAACGTAACTAAAATGGAAGGAGACCTGATTGCATCAAGGCAGGCGCATGGAACAACACAGAATACTGCAAGCTCAATGTTTCTGGTCCCACAACATCCTCTTGCTTCCTCTTCAAACCCTACAAAGACAAACCAGAAATGGAGTTAAATCATATCAACATGGCCGAAAAACTAACAAAAAACATATGTTATTACCATATGGAGCTTGGTTCTAGAGAGGCAGCAGAGGTTCTGAGAAGCTAACAATCTTTGCTCCTTCAGGAAGCTTTTCATTCAGGGAAGAAAGGGCCGAAGAGAGCTTAGAGTTGAAGAGTTTGACAACTTCATGCAACTCTCCTTCTATGCAATTCCACTATGGTAGTATCCTGCCAGCAGCAGAAACCCTATGGAGAGGGAAGCAACTTATTGAAGCTTTACCCACCGCCTCATTTTTCTTCCGCCCGTAGAGTTCCAATATTGTAATGAGAGCAGACAACGACAAACGAAAAACATCTTTTAAAAGCACAATAACGACCATTGAGATTTGACAAACTGACCACATGATTACAAATGGATCTACTCCACATTCCCAATCCATCTGGCTAACAAACAATGATGGTCTGCATCTTATAAAATATGACCGAAGAAGCAAAGGATCAACAATGCAGCAAGACAACTTGAAATATGGCAGAATTCACCAGATGAGCATTTTTTGCTTCAAAATATAGTTACATGACCTCGTCTTTACTCAAGGTCTGAAGCTGCAATTTCCTATCCCGCTCCAGAATCCTTGGGCAGGGAAAACGCACCCACTTCCTGAGAAAGGACCATAAGCAATGTGACTCATGCGACATACCCTTAAACACTAATGTACAACCCAATAGAAGTAGATGGTAGATCAACAGAACTGAAGGCAGAAATCAGGCTAGCAAACAGTACAACAGGTAAAGTAATTTTTCAGTCACACATTCCAATATATGCTAGCCAAACTCAGACATGCAACATTCAATACTACAAACTATAAGGCAGAAGTCCCTAAAGTCCAATATCCTCCCTACTCCATCTCAATAAGGTCAAAGATCAAGAAAGCTGGCATTAAAAATTAGAGTCAGAGATTCGTAAGAAAGCAAAATTCCAATGACAAGACTCATGAGTAAATAGAAAGGCTCTTAAGCCTCACCTCCTTACTTTAAATACACACAATTCATCCCCTACTTTCTCACTGGCGCACAACAATTCCAGCAGTAGTGTCCATCTGGATTCCCCTGTTTTTCGTTAGAGAGAAGACATTGATGAACTTTGGCACTCCAATCTGGTCCATCGAACAGCCATTGTTCTCTGCACCTAACTAAATCCTCCGTCCATGACCCTTTTCTCACTATGCTACGCTGCAAACCTGCACCAATCGCCCCAAACAGGTAGCAACACATCCGTTGATCAAAATTGGTTCCACTCGAACTCATGAAAATTAAATATTCAACTCCAACATAAAAGCAGAAATAACTTGGAATTTAGATTGCCATATCTAAATGAGTTTGGAAGCAATGGTTGAAGCAGAGATTACCCGGCATAAGCAGGAGAGTTTTCCATGGACAAACAATGGTGCAATCCTTCTGAACGATGAAATCCACAAACCGGTGAAAGGAAGCTCGCACGAAGCTAAAAAATCACAGTTCCAGGAGATCTTTTCGGATTTCTCCTTCACCATGGGTGTCACCGACCACAGGCTGAAAACCAAAAGGAAAAAGCAAGAAAGGGTGAGAAATTTCTTGGGCATCACCCGTCAACAACAAAAAAGCGAGGAGATTTCCGTCACTACCGCCGTTATTATGCTGCCAAAACACAGCTGTTGGTCCCAAAAAGTATTGAAAAGTAACTTATTAAGAGAGAAGCACATGTCCCTCTTCCTTCCTTCTCCTCGACTTGTTCCTCTTCTTGAGGCTTCTTCTTCTTCTCCTCCTCCTCCTCCTCCTCCTCCGCTCCTTCTTCTTCACTATCTTACAGCGAGAGAGAAAACACAGGAGATCTGTTAGGTCACACCAGCAAAACTTATTGATAAAAACGACAGATATCAATCAAATCGCCAAACAAAAGAAAAAGCGAGGACAAAGTGAGAATGAAATAGAAGCGAAACTAATATTGATCAGAGAAGATGAGTAAAAAGGGAGGACAAAGACCAGCCATAAATCTATTACGTTTGAATCATAAAACACAGGTTAACTTACACTTATAATCTAAGCAACCGAGACAAAACATGACTAAAGTGTAATTTTTATCAACCATATCTTCCTCTAAGTTAGAATGGAACATAGATAGAAAGTTAAGTTGATCCAAGGGTGAGCCTTTTAAATCATAGCCCATTACATTACATGAAATTTCCAGAATAAAAAGTGCAGAAGGAAAAAACTATCTCTAAGTAAAACCGATTAAACAGAAAACCCCATCCATACAGTGTAGTCTGCTAAGGCAAAAAAGAAGAATAAATCATTAGAATAAGACAATTGATTCTTGTCTTACCAATTTGACAAACTTTGAGGAGTATTGTAAAATATAAACATATAATATACACTCTGTAATCACTTAGGCAAGGTACCGCAAGAGCAATTGTTTATTATCTTGTCCTCTAATCTCACAAAGTCGTGTGCCTTTCCAGCCAAGAAAAAGATAAACACCTAACGCTGACACTACTTGATGAACCCATCATCGTGAACACAAGGATACCATGAATGTCAAATGTCTACCGCTCGTACTGAATTCATAACAAATCAGACTTAACAGAGGAAATGGATGGACATAATCAACATGGAGGGAAAGCTGAAACGCTTTAAAACACAAACAGTAGAGACCAATTGCACCAAGACCACAGTGACATTTTAAGGAACCTGGGACTGGAGGTTCTCCATGCAACTATCAAAAGAGTCAACAACGATCAATAGAAACAATGACCAGAGTCCAGGCATAGAGAACTACCGTGTCAATTTCACAGGACAACGCCCTTGATTGCTTGGTGTAAAAATTTCCTCTTTTGATCACAGGCTAGAACTGGTGAAGTCATAAACCACAACCAACTCGGTAATAATTCCAAACAAATGTAGAAAGAACCTGCAGGAAGAACGTTAGTGACAGAGATTTAGGGAAAGCTTGGATTCCCAAATTTTGGGAACGAAGAGATGGAATCAGCTCCAAAGCTAACATATATGTCCAGAATTGTAGCCTCTGCTTCACCTGTCACACCAAACGATTATTCCCACAAGCCAAGGTGCTTAGAAGATTAAAAGAAAGAGGAAAGAAAATACAGATACACAAAGTACCGAGGATTGCGAGAGAGATCATTTGAAGTTGGAGAGCCCCTCTAAATGTACTAAAATCCTCCACTTGATCACTGGAATCCAACCGATCCCCTGGATTGCTGAAAATTCTGAACTTGAGTGCTTCATAACCTAACAACACAGCATGCAAAAAACTCAAATCAGAGAAACTTTGATAATAGATAAATAAGAGGAACTGATCAATGTAAAGATATGGGAGATGAATTACCTTCCGAAAACTGAAGACCGTTTTTTGAGAGAGCAGAAAGATGGTTCACATGATGGTAAATCAGATAAAAGCGTTAAGTACCAAAGGAACTGCAGGGTAGAGTCTGAGAGTTTCTGTTAGAGCCGCATGAAGGTAATGCATTTTGTCCAGAGCTTCCTGAGTCAGTAGCTCCACAAACTCCTCAGCTGATGTTACTTCTCCGTTCTGATTGGCTGTTGCAGCTTCCCTGACTTCCTGAGCAACCTTTTCTTGGACCAGAGGGTGTTTGCAGAGGGAATAGAAGAACCAAGTGAGGGAATTCGCAGTCGTGTCTTTTCCTGCTATGATGAAATTGAGGGTTATGTCTCTCAGATACTTGTCAGTCATGTTCTCCTGGTCTTTCTCACTTTCCAACAGAAACCTGGACAGTATGTCTTCCTTGCCCAGAAGAGTTTCTCCATTACTCATTTGTTCTCTCTTGCGTTCAATCAGCTTATATATGAAGGCATCGATGACTTTCATGTTCTGCTTCAGATTAGCTTCCCAACCTATATTGAAGATCCTCTTGAGTTTCCACGTCATATCAACGAATCTCCTGAAGGTAATAGAATTCGCATCGTCGAATGCTCTGGCGAATTGCTGCCCAAGGTCGTATGATCCAGACAAAGCATTGAGTTCCATCCCAAATCCCACCTTGAACATCGAGTCTAAAGTTGATTTCATCAGCATATCCTTCAGATGAAAATGAAACCCACAGCTAATGTCAGTAAAGTAAGGAACTGTAACCAAACAACTACAAGTTCCCGTCTTTCGCGAAAGAACGAAACTGATTGATATTCTAGCTTCCAGTATGTCGAAGTTTCTCAAACCATACAGTGATCATTCACCAACCTGCATATCTATGGTCTCCATAGCTGCTGTTGCAACAGTGATCTTTGAAACCAACTTCGCGGCGTTGACCCTGAAAACATTAGTACTGAAATCCCTGAGAAATTTGGTTGAGAATTCATGGCTGGCAAGTTTCCTCTGGTGGCGCCATTTATCCCCATCCGTTGCAAAAATTCCATCCCCAAAAAGATCGTTCATGATTCCCAGATTGTATTCCCCCTAATGAAATAGGCATACAAAGACCACACAAGAGCTCAAAAAGCATAATATAAACTCAGACTTCAATCAGCAGAAGGAATAACCAAAGCCGTCGAAATCTGAAGCCAGAGTGACCATAACCAACTCGGTAATAATTTCAAACAAATGTAGAAAGAACCTGCAGGAAGAACGTTAGTGACAGAGATTTAGGGAAAGCTTGGATTCCCAAATTTTGGGAACGAAGAGATGGAATCAGCTCCAAAGCTAACATATATGTCCAGAATTGTAGCCTCTGCTTCACCTGTCACACCAAACGATTATTCCCACAATCCAAGGTGCTTAGAAGATTAAAAGAAAGAGGAAAGAAAATACAGATACACAAAGTACCGAGGATTGCGAGAGAGATCATTTGAAGTTGGAGAGCCCCTCTAAATGTACTAAAATCCTCTACTTGATCACTGGAATCCAACCGATCCCCTGGATTGCTGAAAATTTTGAACTTGAGTGCTTCATAACCTAACAACACAGCATGCAAAAAACTCAAATCAGAGAAACTTTGATAATAGATAAATAAGAGGAACTGATCAATGTAAAGATATGGGAGAGGAATTACCTTCCGAAAACTGAAGACCGTTTTCTGAGAGAGCAGAAAGATGGTTCACATGATGGTAAGCGAGCAAGACAATCGATCAGATGACAATCTGCAAAAGGCAACATCGAAATCTAACATTCAACCCGAGGGTTTCGCCAAAGAACAATTAGAATTTCAAACATAAAATGCAAAGAAACACGGACGGGAGATTAAGGATGCATCGAATCCCTCAATCCGTGTTTCTGACGGGTGTCTCGGAGACTGAGGATTTGCTAACAGATTGAGAACGCCTTTCTGACGGGACTCTCGGAGATGAATGATGCATCGAATCTGAGGGAAGAGATTCAGCGTTAATAGATTTGCTCCCCAGAAAACAAAGAAGAGAATGCAAGAAAGCTCACCCGGAGCCCTCTTTTTCGAGGTTTCTTCTTCTTCTCCTCCTCCTCCTCCTCCTCCGCTCCTTCTTCTTCACTATCTTCCAGCGAGAGAGAAAACACAGGAGAAAACACAGGAGATTCAGGCGGCAAACCTCGCCGCCATCGACGTTCACATCTTTCTCCTTCCCTCTTTCTGATCGAGAACCCATAAATAAAACAATAAGCTACAAAACAAATACGAGTTACAAATATCTAAAAAAGGCAAACACCTCTTACCTAAGTCGCCGGATCTATCACTGGCGTCCATGGCAGACCTTCCCGTCGCCGCTATCACCGGCTTTCCCCTCGCTGCCATCGATGGCCTTGATCGGATCTCCTTCCTCCTCCTCCTTCTGACTTGACATGAGAGTCTTCTCTCTCCCTGTTTTCTTCTTCTTCTTCAACAGAGAGGAGACTGATTGTGGCTGGGATTCGGATCTCCTTCCTCCTCCTCCTTCTTCTGACTTGACATGGGAGTCTTCTCTCTCCCTGTTTTCTTCTTTTTCTTCAACAGAGAGGAGACTGGGTGTGACTGGGATTTTGGAATGGAAAGAAATGCAAAAGGAGGAGATGCAGAGATAGAGATGGGTGGGTGGGAGATTGGGAGTTACGGGAGAGAGATGGAGATTAGTGGATGAGAGAATAGAGAGGCAGAGTGCAGGAGAACAAAAGAATAATGAGGGGAACAGAGAGAAATATGAGGGATCAAGCATGGCGCCATAAAACAAGGAAAGTAGAGGGCTCGAAAAGCAAAGCGATGTAGGAAAAGTAGAGGGAAGACTAATGGAACGACGGCAGGAGAAGCAGAGAAGCGATTTTCTCCGAATTGAAGTGATGGGAGCCGCTTGTCCATGTCAGAAGAAGGGCCAATCAGAAAGGAGAACAAGAGGCAAAAAAGCAAACCAAGTCACAGTATTTGGATGTGACTCTATGAAACAGTAAACTTGTAACTTGTTCTTTTAAAGAGATAATGTTCGTATAAGCTAATATGATATCATCCGAGAATTGAACTCGTTTTGATCGTTTTCTTATTATGATGAACTCGTACCACTTGAATGTTGATGTAGTCTAATAAACTTCGGGGCTATTGATCCCGACACAATCCAATCATTATGGGTCGACCGATGAACTATTGGGAGACTGACCACTTTATAAGCTAAGCAAGGATAAGAGACTCCTCTCAAGTCTCACCCGAGATGCTACAAGAGCGGGCTCACGACCATTCGAGAGTCAATCAAATCACCAAAAACTTATTAAACAATGATAGCGTCATCGGTAATTAAATCCGAGACTTTAAATAGGTACGAATTCTCGCTCTCATTTTTATCATTTATTCTTATTAGCATGTTGACCGAATTTTTGAAATTTTCTTTTGGGAAGAAAGAATATGTCTATTGTGTATGAAATTAAGGCAATGAGCATTGACATTACCCACCCACAAAATTTCCTTTTGGATTACACTTTCACCAGAACGTGCCTTTTCAGCATTTAGCGTCCTGCAGCAGCCACCAGGAAGAGAGGACATAGAAGCATCCAAGCATTAACTTCTAGCTGCTGAGCGTACGTAGAGTGTGTCGTTCAACTCAACTAATACTGATATTGCTTGATCGACTTAATTAGTTTCAACCATTGTAATTAAGGGATAGGAAAGACTAACTACCCATGCATATGCACTTAATTAGTTTATAAACGACATGGCCTATCTATTTGAAACTTTCCTTTTCGTGTAGAACAGTAGAAGAAACCCATATTGGGAATGAAAGAAGATCCATATATCCCTCTGGTCACCAGCTAGAAGACACTAATTTGATCATCAACTCAACAAGATAGCAAGGGTATGATGTTGGGGCCATGATTGTTAACATGTCTCTATTTTGAGTTTTTTTTTTTTTTTAAATGGCATAAGTTAGATTGACCTAGTTTAGTATCAATGTCATTTTGTTGTGTTTTCTGACAAGTTGTGACGATAGAGTCGAAACAAAAAAGACAGTACGAAAATTAACAACGATATATGTTTGGTTTATGGTTCTTGCAACTTTGAAACTGAAAACGAAAATGTGTTTCGTACTATCATTACTTCTGCCAGAGGTTGGATACAAATATTTGAGTGAATATGATCAATTTTTTCAATTGCACCATTTTATGGATAATTTTGTGTTCTCTGTTAGCTTCTCATTTGTGTGCTCTTGATATCTCTCGAGAAGACAATTTCAAAAACATAAAATTAAGCATGACAATTCAAACAAAACATAAAAATATGTACAATATCAAGAATAAACGTAACCTAGATCGAACGGAAAATTTTCAACACTATCATTAATTAAAGCTAAACAATTTCTTTTTTCAAATGGAAAGTACATGAATTTGCAAAGCAAAAAATAGATTAAAATAAAACCCAAAGCATCAAGAGAGTCTAAGAACAATGAACAATTGTTGGGGCTTATTAGGATTAGTGATGACAATGAGTACGTTCAGGCGCGGGTTACCCCAATTCAATACCCTTATTCGTCAATGTACATCTTGCCAAAGTACTCGGGCAAATATCCATCGGGTACTCAAAGGGTATATCCATGTCATATCTAGTAGAAATCCGCAATTACAGTGGTGACTGAGAGGTAAAGAAGATTGGATGAAGCCACAGAGGATCGCTGGTGAAGGAGATTCAAAGAAGACGCAGATAGACTGGTGGGCATCGTTGCAGGTGGAAGCGGAGGAGGGGATGTAGTTTATTTTTACAAGACAATGATCTTTCATTCATTTACAAACTCATTTACAAGCATAATCCTATCGGTCATGGGATGAAATGAGTTTAAGAATAGTGAGTCAATCATGAGGGAGAGAAGAGTGAGCTTGAGAGCGAGCCCCAATCCGCTCAAAAGTTCATACTTTGAGGGATTCCATGATTCTCAATCAACGTCGTCGACTCCATGATCTTGAATATTTCCCATCATTGAGAAATATCTCCATGGCAAACCTTCTGGATCTCTCGAGAATGCTTTGACGAGAACTTCACAGACCGACCTGACCACACAAGAACATTGAATTATTGGGCTAATTTCACCCCTTCTAACAAAGCTTTTGCAAGCTTCGTTTTTGGTATAGTCTTGTTTGCTCTAAACAAGTAAGCAACGTAAATTCTATCTTGTTACGCTTCTATTTCATCCGATTTTGTTCACTACTGTGTTTTTATTACTACACTTCAATTTAACATTAAAAACATAAAATTCAAATCAATTCACAAGAGTGAGAGCCACTAATTTCCTCCAAGTAAGATGCACTAGATGAGAACATTATGGATTCAGGTATTCATATTGCATTTGTATGATTTTTGGTTTAGGTCAATACGTCTGAAGAGGTCAGAGTAGTTCCCGGTCTACACTTTAGCATTTAGGTTAATTTCCATTTTCAAGATACAAAAACTTGTACAGGGAGTTACATAAAGGATAAGAGTTTAGAAAGAAAAATTAGAATGAGCATGAACTCAAAATCTTCTATAGGACTTAAGGGGTCATTTGAATGTTAGATTTTAAAATGTCAAATTGTCCCAAATTCTTAGATTTGAAAATTGAAGGATGACTTATGAATTTAGACCATTAAGGATTTGGAAAATAAAATATAGTGTTCTGGTATTGATTTTTATGATTGATTGTCAATAATTAGATGTGTGGATCTAAGGGGTCGTTTGGAAGTTGCGATTGTTAAATAGATGTATTGTTGAGAATGCATGTATAATATTATACATGTATTGTCGAATTTGATGCATTGTAGAATACAACGTTTGGTATGTGTGATTGTGTATGTCGCATAAGCTAAAAGCTGAGACAAAACAATCTCAACTCAACTATCTCAACAATCACAACTAAAAGTTGAGATATAACAATCACTCAAAATGAGTGATAGTTTCTGTCACATCACAGAAACAATCCATGTATTGTTTCTGCTTAGAAAATAAAAAAACGATGCATTGTAAACAATACATGCATAATAACAATCTCAACAAAACTATCACAACTTCCAAACGACCCCTAAGATCAAAGTTATATTAACCATTTAAAGAGTTGGAAAACGGGAAAAAGAAAATTAAGGAGGGCGCACTTCAAATGAACAAAACAAATAGGAATCCTGGTTACGGAAGAAAATTCTGAAACTGTGTTCCTTGTTCCAATTTCGACTTGAAGTGGATGTGATGTGAGTAATGTAGTTAGCTGGGAAAGGAAGTTGCTGCATAAATTCTCTATCAAGAGTCAAGACTCAAGACCATATGGGAGTCAATTAGATTTCGAGGACAAACAGGTCATTTGACACAAAACTATTGTGGGGGAAGCATGTGGCTCAAAAAACAGGTTCCTAACATGAATTGCATCAAAACAAGAGATAAGTTTGAATTAGGGATGGCAATGGGTCGGGGTCCGGGTCGGGGCGGATAGTGTATATCCGTTACCCTACCCAAAGTACTTTGGGTTTTACCCATACCCATACCCACATGTGAAACGGGTAGAAAATCAAAACCATGTCCATACCCGTTTGGGTTTCGGGTATCCATGGTTATCCATGGATATTAATTTCTCTTCATAACTTCAACCAATATGTTAACATTCACATGTATTCTTATATTAAGTAAGAGAAAAAGTACGCCAAGAATTCACTAGAATGAAGAAAATTAACTAAAACAACACAATTTCATGAAAATGTTATATTTATATGCTAAATATAAAATATGTTAGAGAAAAATAATGATTATTTCTAGACAAAATACATATGCATGTGTATAATCGGGCGGGTTCGGGTCGGATAGTGAGAAATCCATGTCCACCCATTACCCGCAATATTCGGGTTTGGGTTTACCCCGTACCCACTAAATGTCCTTCGGGTTCGGGTTTTACCCTACCCGACTAGGTCGGATTCGGGCGGATATCCACGATTACGGATATTTTTGCCATCGAAGAGCTGGGGGCTGATTGATTTGGATAAGTTCATAATCCAAGTGTCATACACATATCTGAGTTTATTTTTTAGCTCTTCATAGACTTCAGAATTCAACCCCGTGATCCACAAGTTTGAATCCGTATCTCTGACAAACAAATATTTTACTATGTTTTCCAAATTTATATACAAAACCACAGTATTTATTTAACAAATTGTATTTCTTTTTATGAATAGTTATAATTAACAAATTGCTGATGGAGACAACGTTTGACGAATTGGTGAACGTATGTCCCACGTATAAAAGGAGGTTCAGATTGGAACCAAATTGTTAGAAAGCGTAAGCAACTAAGCATCACTTACCAATCCGAAACTGCCTAGTCACCATTGGTTGCAGTGCTTGTCCAAGGCACTTACCCCTTTGACAAGTCAGAAGACAAATCCGTAAACCCAGTTGCAGTGTTTGACAAGGAACATCACTTTCATCACATGAGGTCGTCGGCAATCAAATCCCAGGTGTGTTTTAGTGTGTGTGTATATATATGCAGAGAGCTGCCCATCAAATCCCTACCAAAATCCACATCCTGAAATCTCAAACAAAAAACACACCAAGAACAACAATCATGGTCATGGACTACCATTTCTTAGTCTTTTCTAGCCTAGCGGCTATCATCTACGGCGCCCTGCGAGTTTCCTATTCCATTTGGTGGAAGCCCAAGTCCCTGGAGAGGAAGTTGAAGCAGCAGGGAATCACAGGGACTTCCTACAAACCGCTGCTCGGGGATATGAAGGACTTCATCAAGCACATAACCGAATCATGGTCCAAACCCATCAATCTGAACCATCAGATTGCAGGCCGGGTCGACCCATTTACGCTGAACATCGTCCAGAAGTATGGTAAGGAACTACTGCTGCTGAGTATTAGTGTCTAGAGCCTAGAGAAGTAGTCACCTCACCTGTTCAAGTTGGGTTTTATGTAGCTAACTTTTTTGACACAGGAAATGTGGCTATGTTCTGGTTTGGGAAAACACCAAAGGTGATCATCAAAGACCCAGAGCTGATACAAGAGGTGCTCTCCAACAAGCTTGGCCATTTCGGGAAGCCGCCTTTGAACCCACTTATCCTCATCCTTGCCAGAGGGTTGACGGTTCTGGAAGGTGAGAAATGGGCTAAACACAGGAAGATCATCAATCCTGCTTTCCACCTTGAGAAGCTCAAGGTAAAAAAACAGAGTTGTATAATTTTACTATTATATAACAAATTGCTGTGTGTAACTGAGATGAAGTAAAGTCTTACGGTAATGAATTGGGGTGCGTGTGGTGAAGGGTATGTTGCCTGCATTTGGGCTCAGTTGCAGCAACATGATAGCACAATGGAACGAAATGGTTGGTCCTCAGGGAACTTGTGAAGTGGATGCCTGGCCTGAGCTTCAGAAGCTCACCATGGATGCTATCTCAAGGGCTGCATTTGGTAGCAGCTATGAACAAGGGAAGAAGATCTTTCAGCTTCAGAAAGAACTGATTTTGCTGGTTATGGAAGCCATGCAGACCTTGTACATTCCTGGGTTCAGGTATTTAAAAGCCTTGCTCCTTCCTCGCAAAGAAGAATAATGTATCATAGTTTCCTTCCTGGTAGGGGTAGGGAAATGGTCAAACTGATACCGAAACCAAATTTCTTAGTTTTTGATTAACCAAAACCTAATTCAATTTGGTTTGTAGGTTTTTGCCAACCAAGAAGAATCTGAGGAGGAAAACACTGGACAGAGAGATAACGTCAACGCTGAGAGGTATAATTGAGGAAAAGCAGAACGCCATGAGAGCTGGGGAATCAAGAACAGATGACTTGCTGGGGCTTCTCTTGCAGTCAAATGAACACAACAACCAATCAGAAAGCACGAGTAGCAAGAAAGGTGACCATGGTTTGACAATAGAAGAGGTTATAGAGGAATGTAAGGTATTCTATGTGGCAGGTCAAGAGACAACCTCAAGCTTTGCTAACATGGACGATGATAGTTCTAGCTATGCACCCAGACTGGCAAGAAAAAGCAAGACAGGAAGTTATGCAAGTTTGTGGGAAGGATGAAGAACCGACTTTTGAAGCCCTGACCCACCTCAAGATTGTGAGTTTGTTGGTTTTAGCTTAACGGTTTTCGAACTATGATCGGTATGGTTAATCAGACAATAGCAACCAATTAGTCACCATTGCTGAAAGGTTCCTAGTATGCTCTGTGTCTTCACATGACATTAATTCTACCCTTTCACTGCAGGTGACAATGATACTAAATGAAGTACTAAGGCTATATCCATCAGCAATTGCTCTCTACCAACATACTTACAGAGAGACAAAGATCGGAAACCTGTCACTGCCAGCAGGGGTTGATGTAACTCTGCCCATACTGCTCATTCATCACGATACTCAGCTTTGGGGGAACGATGCAGATGAATTCAAACCAGAAAGATTCTCTGAAGGAGTTGCAAAGGCATCATCTAAACATCGACTGGCCTTCTTTCCTTTCGGCTGGGGGCCAAGGACCTGTATAGGCCAACAGTTTGCCATATTAGAAGCTAAGATGGCTCTGGCTATGATTCTACACAATTTCTCGTTTAAGCTCTCACCTTCTTATGCACATGCCCCCAATACTGTTATGTTGCTTCAACCACAGCATGGAGCTCAACTGATCCTCCACAAACTCTAAGGATTCCAGAGTTGCTGGTGCAATCTTCTCCTGTATGGACTTCAATATATAATAATAATAATAATGTTTGGCCAACGACATATTAGAGCAACACTGTGAGCCCTTATCTACTCATATGGCTTAATAATATAATTATGACTCAATTGGGAATAAAGCTTCCCAAGACAGAGAAAGGACTTTTTGTATGAACCAAAAAAGGGAACCATAGGTCGGGAAAGCTCAATTGTGCAGTTCACTGTGCGCTCAAGAACATGCATCTGAACAAGATCACAACCAAGTTCCTTCTCTAGTTTCATCTGTTCCAATAACATCAACAGAAGCTAAACAAGATTAAGAACGGCCGCATCACTCAAATAACTTAAACTAGGAGGACTTCTTAACAAGATAATCTCTTTGCAACAGCTCATAATGATCCAGGACTGGAAAAAAACATAACTGAAACTTCATTTCTTTCCTTCATATTTCTCTTCTTCGGACACTAGTTGGTATCAGTAATACATCACGAGGCAAAATTTGGATGTGTAACCTGTATGGCTTTCTCTTGAAAGAATTTAATGAATTTATAGGCTTCACTCTATTGTGATTTGGGTGTATATCATCATAAATCAGCCATGGCGTTTGTGATGGCTTCAACATCGGGGATCAAAATTGCACGCTTGTCAATCTCTGCAACAGCGCAGCACTGCTTCTCCGCTGTGTTAATTGCAACAACGTCCTGAGCAAATGTACCCTCCATACCGACAGAAACCTGCAAATGTTACAGTAATAACACAAAAGAGAGATCATTAGGGATGCATGCAATTCTATATATCTTCAAAAAACAAATGTAAAAAAGACCGTGAAGATGGTTCAAATTCGGCCAAAGGGAACATATAAGAAGGTATCGAAGAGGTGATTCAATTTTCAGTTTTGGACCTTCATGTAGCTACTTAAAGCAGTACTCACATTGTAGATGGTATCACCAAGCTTAAGCTTAACCGCACCACTTTTATACACTAGCATTTTACCCATGAACCCAGGAGGTAATTCTTCTAATCTGCATCCTGCACCTCCAGATGGTGCAGACCTTTCCTTTACCTCTTTCCCTTCTGTGGTAGACGATCTTTTAGTCACAGGCAACATAGTGGGTAGCTGAATAAAGAACATGCTGGGTTCAACATTTTCCTCCTGCACAAATCCGAGTATGAGATAGTAAACAGATGTGTAGAACTGCATGAAATTTCATCATGAGAGCACTGACCAATAAATCAAGATCCTCAGCAGGGCTTGGTATGTCTTCATCATAAGTTGGTTGTTCTCCAGATCCCCCAAATTCCTGCTCGTCAAGAGTTGCTGGGAGAAGTACAAAAGAGTGCATAAAACTCTATAGCATGCTTTCTGAAGGTTTGGTGATCTCAAAAGCACTAAAGGGAGCAAGATAAAATAGTGAAACAATTATGACTCGAGCTTTCATAACATGTCATGTATCCCCACTCAAACCATGTTCATTAATTTTACTATAGAGGTTGCCTTCGGGAGTTACCTGGATTTCCTGAATATGGTCTCCTCAAGGGAAGTGTAACGGGATAATAACTGTAATAATCCTGCATAAGCATCAATGTTCACGTCAATTCATTATTTGCTGGTTGCTTGACGACTCACATTAGAGGTGAGTAAACAGAATCTGCTACTTCTTAGAGTGAGGTGAAGATTTGCTTACCCATGGTTCTTCATACTCTTTCTGAGCCAGCCCAGGTGTAGCAGTACCTGTGATGTAGGTCCAGGTGTAATCTCCCCAAAACTCAATGTAGCAAATTAAATAGCACTGAATGAATGAATAGCATACCACCAAAAGATGAACTCTGATCTCTGTTACCCATGCTCTTAAGTTTGGGCATGCCATATGATTTTAAGGTAGAGCTCCCACCAAATCCAAATGCAACTTGCGATGCTTGCACTGTTCAATATATGAGCAAATGAATGTGAGAGACAGTGCAACTTTAACCAAGTATAGTCAACATTCAAGTACATTGTCCATACGCTCCTGCCAATCCTGAATGTCATTTATTCTTTCTTTCTTATTTTTCTCTTTCCGTGAATTTCCTCAATGTGATTCTTAATATGAAGTATACTGGCAGATGAAACTAAACCCAGTAAAAGAAGATGCTGAGTACTACCAATACTTGATGACTCCTTAAATGACCTACGTCTCAAAAAGCTTTACATTCAGGGACAACACACAGGTGGCCTAGCCTAGTGATCGCATGACAGTAACATGGGAACTAACCATCTCATAAGTTGAACTTCAGACCACAACCAGAAGGATGGTGCCACTCAATATCACCAGTAATATAAATATATGAATGAAATGATCAAAATACAAAGGTACCAACTTTGTGATGAATTCTGGACTACAACAAGAACGACTAACTCAAACTGCAAGCTCTGGAAGACTGGAACAAGCTTGTCACTACTCAGACACTTCTGATGTATTCCAAGGCACACTAGCCACGGATTTCAATGACTGCTTCAACAGTAACATAATACTCTTCTTAATATTCAAATGCCATATCCTAATACTATTTCCTGGATGGCTGGCAATCTTCCCTATCTCAAAAACCCAAAAAAGTAAATTGAGCCAACAGATGAAACACAGAGTAAGCGTACCTTTCTTTTCGATCTTATTCCTTCCCCTGAGTGACCTTTCCTAATAGAAGAACAGATCACAAAAACAAGAACCAAAAGAAGCCTCAGAAAATCCATCGGCCAATGGACAACATATGGATGGAATGGAAGAACCAGTGTAGAAACAAACATACTTCAAACTGTTGCATGAGTTTCATAGCCCGTTCGGCATCAGTCTCCTCGACCTTTTCTCTGAAGAACCCAAGAAAGAAAATAAGATAGCCTGAGGTAATCAGTTGGCGGGGAGCACAGTTTCTCTTCCTCGCAAACCAATCAATCCTTTAAAAGTCCAATTTTACTTTACATATTCACTTACGCCTTAACTTCAGGCTTCGGTGCCCGCCGAGGAGGGGCTTTTGGCGCAAACTTGAGCTGAAGAAAAAAATAGTTACACAAAAGCCAACATCGTCATAACCATATCACCAACCACCATCATCAGAAAACTATACTGTTGCAACAGAAGAAGAAGAAGAAGAAGAAGAAGAAGAAGAAGAAGAAGAAGAAGAAGAAGAAGAAGAGGAAGAACGTTCCGATTTTCATACAAACCTTCTTGGGCGGTTCCGGCGCCATGGTACTCCAGCAAAATAGAACAGCTTCTGCTCCGGTGCTGCTGCAATCAAAGGAACAAACTTTGGGTAATCAAAGCGGTGCGAGCGTGGGAGCGGCAATGCAGGTAACGAGAAGAAGACTGTCGTCGAATAAAAAAACAGAGATTGATCGACGATGGGGGAGAAGAATATTGAATGAATGATTGTTTGCTGTTACGCTAACCTTTCTTCTTGAGTTGCAGAGAGAGGTTAGGAGATGAATGATGGCGCGAGGCGACGAGAAGGAGGAGGGAGGGAGGCGGCTACTCTGAAGGCAATGTGGAAAAGAAAAAGGTTCAAACCTAGTGAGTGGGAATCCTGCAGCAGCAGCAGCAACGCCTGCTTCGACGTGGTGTCGAAACCGCTTTTCCCTGCTCCTCCCACCTCCGCCTGTTTCGCCCCCACTTGTTACTTTTTAGTCCTTGTTCTATTTTGTTTGCCAAAAAGGTCCATCATATGTCTGTCTATATTATTTTGTTTCAATCACTCAAGCAATAGAGGTGGCTATGGTTCATGATTGGACTAAATGGATAGGTGGATAGATTCTATGAATGAATTCATAAATTCACATGAGATCTAAACTTTGAATCATTATGAATTTTATATTTTTTATAAATTATTTTTTTTGTTAATTTGATTATAAATCATAAAAAGTAAAAGAATAGTTTGAATTTGAATTTTTTAATGATTTTTAGGCTGACGAGGTAATGACATGGCGTGTTGACTAACGGTCAATGGTGTTGACCATCCAAATTGACGGTCAAACTAGGTGTCGGGCCAATTGAGTCTATATGTTACATAGTTGAGGCCAGGATGTTAATTTCTGAAACCACGTGCCAAAGTTGATTATATAGTCATAGTTTTTTTTGTCATAGATAGATCGTAATAGATAGAGTATTACAATGCGGTGGAAATGAAAGAGCGGTAGTCAACCATATGGGTTGCTACCGATGCAAGAGCCGTTTGTGCCACGCGATGGGCAGCCCTGTTAGTACTACAAAAAGCAAACACAAAAGATACAAATGCAAAAGAGTTCTTCAGCAATTGCACTTCTTCAAACACCGCGCCATCGTTCGTGATCACGATTGACATCATTCGTCTTGCAAACCAAGGTCCGGTAACCTGTGAAAACAATGAAACCAACACTACCTCCCACAAATTCATAGGTTAGACTACACAACTCGACAAAACACAATACCAATCTGCCTTACTTTCACTTGCTCCCTAGTCCCTAGCAATACAATTCAACGAGGAGTTTGTTCGGTGAATAAATATTTTAAGAAGAAGAGATTAAAATTAAAAGAAATAAATAGATAAATAAGTAAAAACAATTGGGACTTTGGGAGGTGGGAAACGTGCCTGACCACGCATAGAATAGAATCGTGGGAATGTAACTGTAGAGAAAATGGAACTGCCGCCCAGAATTCTTGTTGCCGCCGAAAGGACTCGCCGCCAGCCGGAAGTACTCGCTGCAGGAATCCAGATCACAACCCTTTTGACACCCCTGCAAAAAAGGAAAAATCCACTGGAAAAGAATTTGATGGATGGAGGGAAAGACATGGTCGGCGACGCACGATGGCGTAGGCAGCAAAATGCTCGAGCGCACGATGGCGAGAGAAAGATCAATGCAGGTTCTCCTTCCATAAACGATCTGTTGTAGGAAACCTCTTTTCGTTCTTTAAAAGCCAAAGCAACTTTAGACAGATCAGGGTCTGCGCAGAAAGTGGCGACCAAAACCTCGATCCACCGGTAAAACCTCGATCCTTAACTCTAAATCCTTTCCTCTTGCCGCCGTCGATGCCGTCCTCGCTGCTACGGGAGAGAACCAGAGGGCGACGCTTCTTTTCCACTTGCAGTTGAAGCTGTTTGCTTTGGCCCTCTCTGCCTATAACGGAACCCGCTGCCGGCCGCCGTCGTGGGCGATCTCCGTCTGTAGCGGCTCTGTGCTCCCTGAACCAAGCAGTTCCTGTCCTGGATCAATCCAACTTTCGCCAGGAACGAAACCAAATCGGGAAGATTCATCGCAGAACCGTCAGCCAGCGAAATGGAGGGTTGATTAAGACCGCCGCCGCTGCAAACCTCCGATTGAAGCAAAGGCATCAGAAGAATTGAAGACCAGCACGCGGGGCTGTTAGGGGCTTCATTTAGTGATGGACTCTAATAGCCACCGATTATATAGTCATAGTTCAGGCCAAAATAAGGTATTAACACATACTATTAATAAGACAAATCATGAATAATACAAAGACACATAACACTAAAAATGATAATTTCTCAAGATTAATGTTTTAGTTCAACACAATGTAATCGGACTTATATTACCGATTTCTCGAACGGAGCGAGAGCGCAAGAGCATCTATTTTAAAATAATTGCATATTCAAAGCGTCGAAAGAGCATCAATATTCTATTATTTTAATTAAAAATTATTTAAAATATTACAAAATATTTACTATCGGGAACCTTGGTACCTAGTAGAAAACCATTGAGTTGTTAGTTTAGCCTTTATTTTGTCTTGTGTTTTTGTTTTTGTTTATGTTTTTGTTACTTTCATAGTTTGTTTCGTTTTGTGTTTTGTTATCCAACTTTGTGTGTCATGGGTTGTTGAGTTTGTGTTTTGTTACCCCTTGATTCAGATATCGAGAAGACCCTTCGGAACCTAAGGGGAGTTTCAAGACATCAATCTCCACCAATGGCGGATCATCAAGCTCAATTTCCACCAAGGCTTATAACAATGGGTTCTTACTCAAGACCAAGCGTGGATAATGGTATATCACCTATTCTTCACCCAACGGTGCCCAACAACAACTACGAGATATAGTCGGGCACAATTTTGATGCTTCAAAGTGTGGTTCAATTCAATGGGATGATGAGTGAAGACGCTCATGCACATATCAAGTCATTCTACGAGTTGACAGATGGAATTAAGGTGAACAGGGTTCCTCAAGAGGCAATTCGCCTAAGGTTAATTCTGTTTACTCTAAGTGGAGCGGCAAACCAATGGTTGAATAACCATCCTCATCACTCCATCGTCTCGTGGGATGATCTATGCAACAAGTTCTTTGCACGATATATTCCACCCTCTAAGACGGCTTTAATGAGAAGCGAGATTACTATGTTCCGTGAAGAGGAAGATGAGCCATTGTTTGAAGCATGAGAAAGGTTTACATCTCTCCTACTCAAATGTTCACACCATGGCATCGCCGACTGGTTACAAGTGGAAAGCTTTTATAACGGTTTAACAAGGGAGTCATGCCACCCCATCGGTGCGGCTGGTGGAGGTGCCATAAGGAACAAGGAAGTCGATGAACTTCAAAGATTGCTTGGAGAAATGGATCTCAATAGCTACGATTAGGGAGACGGAAGGAGATGCAAAAGTGTGAAGAAGGAAAGTTTATTGAAGATTGAAGAACCTTCATCGTGATGTTCATATACAAGAACTTTCCAAGAAAATTGATCAAGTTGCATCATCAATGAAAGGCAATGGGAAGCAACTTATGAACTGTGATTGATGTGGCGATGCAAGTCATACCATGGCGGAGTGTAAGTCTATGATTGAAGCCTCGATACAATTTGAGCAAGCCAAATTTGTTGGAGGACAACCTCGAGGAAATAATCCTTATAGCTCAACATATAATCCGCTTTGGAGGAACCATCCTAACTTTCTTTGGTCTTCTCCAACAGATAGAAAGCTTCCATGGTTTCAATCTCAAGCTCCTATGCAAAATACTTATCCAAGGCCGAGTCAACCCTCATACCAAGGGGCGTATCAAGAACAAAGTCGAACTTCCAATGGCCGAGTCTCTAAACTTGCAGACTTGGTTGGTCGATTCGTTACACACTCCAACAAGAAGTTTGAAGCTATTGACAAGTTCTTAGAGAGTACCACGACTAAATTCTCAAGTTTGGAAGCGGGACAAAGGAATAAAAAAACTTCACTTCAAAATCTTGAAGCCCAACTAAACTCTTTGGCGCAAACTCTATCATCGAGACTACATGGAACTCTACCGGATAATACTAAACATAATCCTAAGGAGGGATGTCATGTGGTAACTCTAAGGAGTGGTCGGACCTTGAAGGAGGTACCTATCTCAACACCGAGGATACCTGTAAGAGAAGTTAACATGAAGTCATTCAAGAAAAAAGAGCTAGTTCGAGAAGGAGTGCAACCTCCTATTGAAATCAAGATAGAAGCTGAGGAGAAGACTAAGAAGACTCAAGCACCCGATCCGATACCAAAAGCTCCTTATCCTAAACGGTTATTCGAAAGTGATCTCTATAATGAGTGTGCTCCATGGAAGGAAACCTTGAAGCAATTGAAGTTAATGATCCCTTTCTTATACATGGTGATAAAGATTCCTAAATATACCAAGTTCTTGAAAGAAATATTGTCGCGAAAGAGGAAGATGGAAGAAGTTGCTATGGTATCCATTAGTGAAGTTGTTTCGACATCCATTGGATGTGAAGGATTCCCTTACAAATTGAGAGATTCTGGAATCTTCATTATTCCAGGTACCTTCGGAGTCAAAACTTTTTGGAATCCGTTGGCGGATTTGGGGTCTAGTATCAACATTATGCCTACAAGAATATACAATGAATTAGACCTTGGATCACTCATACCTACTAAGATGGGAATTGAGTTGGCCAATAGGTTTGTCGTCGAACCAAGAGGAGTCATATAGAATGTCTTGGTAAAATGTGCTCATTTTGTCTCCTGTGCACTTCGTGGTTCTCAACACGGAAGGATGTGATGCATCAATAATCCTAGGGCGGCCATTCTTAGCCACAGCAAGGACTATCATAGATGTGAGTGGGAGCAAGATCACCTTAAGATTTGGAGAGGAGGAGATAAGCTATAAGATAACTCAAATCCCCAATTTTCACAAGTACTTCAAATGGGAAGATGTGAAGATGGATTGTGGTCGCTCATGTTGACCCCCATGATAGTAGTGACGAAGGTGTGAGTGATTCTTACATGATTATAAAGAGAGCGGGTGAGGAAAATTTTTCTCACAAAAGGGATACTCGAGAGTTATTCAAGGGTTCTCATCACATCAATGATCATAGAAGGAAACTTAAGAGGTTCATCTTTGAAGAGAGGTACCCCGAGGAAAGAGGTCGGGATGTTAAGAACAACCTAGCTTAGCTCCTATACTCGAAGATGAAGAATTCGATGAATGCTATAAACCAGTCACGGATGATGATACAAGTACAAGAGAGTTTGGTTCCTTCAATCATGCACGTCAACCTTCATATTGAATCTTTCATATTTCAAGCACCGGATGAGGCATCCGAGAGACTCCATGGTCTTCATTTGGGACTTTACCACAAGTATGATTTCTACGAAGAATCATCGGTGAAGGAAGGAGATCTTGTCTTTTTTTATCTCAATGAGTCAAGTCCGTTGAAAAGACTTTTAAAGACACGCTTGTTGGGAGGCAACCCAACAACTCGGTTTGCGTATCTTTTCCTTTTTCTTTTAGAATAATCGCTTGAGTAGAAATTAGAATTGCATTGAGTATGATTGATATGACTTATCCCTTGCGTTGTCTTGTCTATGGATGATTAAGCTTAAGGAATTGGTGAAAATATGTTGTCCTAATCAGTGCAAAGATCGCGACCGCGATCTCATGTCAACAACTCGCGATCTTGTTCGTGTCTATTTACCACATTGCATTTATGTGTAATATCTTCATACCATCTTTTAGATCTACATGCCATGTTTCTCCACCCCTGTTAGATGGTTGAGCATATCTTCTTTAACTTCACTTTTCATCATTTTGTGAGAAGAATTTTTAATTGTTTTTGATTTTCCAACATGTCTCCTAGCAAGATAAGGTACACTTTACCATTTCCTCATATTTTAACCACCTTATTTTGCTTAACATGTGTTGAATGCCTTGAGATATTGAAATGCTCATCTTCATCTTGTCTTGAATATTTGATGCCCTAGGATTATTTTCTTTGCTTTAATGGTCATGTTATGCATTTTGGGAGACCTTGGTGGGCTACTTCCATGCACTTCTTCGGTTTTCAAAGACCGCCCACCAAGTTTTCGTAGAAAGTCCCCAACTATTTAATTTTCATTTTCTCATATCCTATTCATTAAGCATCAGCTTTCTTGAATTGATTATCTCTTATTCGCTCAACTTTGCATTGATTTGGGAGATCCTATTATTCATCGCCTCAAAACTCCATCTTTATCTAAGTCCCCTCTCTTACCGAAGACTTAGTCTCACTAAAGTGTGGGGGGGGGGGGGGGACTTAGAGATTTGATGCTGGTTCATTGAAAAGAGCTCACTCACCATATTCGACAAACCCTAAGTATCTAGACATTGCATAGTAGTCCTAGACTAGGATGTAGTTCCCCGAAGCACCTGTTTTTATCTTTATTTGAACTCTAGACTAGTTATTTCGCTCATATGCTCCACATAAAACCCTTAAACCGATCAATTAGATAACAACAACGTGGGAAGTATGCTAGGGTACCAGGACCCGAGTGAATACGACATTGATTGCCACTATACGATAACGCCATTTTAGGTTAAACTTGGCCTAGAATGCTAACCACTGACAATAATCTGCACGGATGAATGCACATCAGCATTCGAATACATTAGATTAGGTTTGAGTAGTTACTATTGAAAGTAGGGCTGGAAGTTTGGTGCCGATATTTGGGATATATCGAATACACGTATTATTTCATGGGATTGAGATTGAATTTTAATTGTTATTCGGTATTAGGGATTACGGGATTGAGATCGGTATATACCAAAATACCGATCAATACTGAAATATAAGCTAGTGTGTATTTTATCCTCTCAACTAGGCTCTCTCATTCACTACTACACGACCCTCAACCACCAAGAGTATAATTTAATTATACATAGATCATTACATCACTATTTCACACTAGTATTAGTCGTCTCTCGACCTCAAATTCGTCAAATTAAAGATTACCAATTACAAGAACTTAAGATGTTAGCTCTAGGCAACTCAAGACTCTTTTCTTAGTCTCTTTGCCCTAAATTAAACAATAAAATCTTATTTATATATTTAATTATCAATTACAAAGGTAATTAATTTTGTATACAATACTACTGATTGAGATATCGAAATATTTAGGGATTGGGATACCAAAATTAATTAGAGATTGAGATTGGGATTGATTTTAGGGTGTAATTTAGTATTCGGTATTTCGGTATTTAATATTGGGATACCGATACCGTACCGATTTCCACCCCTAATTGAAAGACCCTATGATATACGACCCTAGACACCTCTAGGAATTTGTCTCTTGAATACTACATCAGTAACCCTTAAACCATCTTCGATAACAAAGTGGGAAAGTGCTAGAATGCTAAACGATTTTGGCATTTTGGTACCCAAAAGTGGGTTCTGCTCCAATAAGAAAAATGTTAGAATGTCAAAGTGTCAAACTTTCTCTTTGATAATCTAGTTTAGTGTATACTTTATTATTTTGATTAGATAATTTGTTGATTATTCTTATATAGATAATTAAAGCGAACATTTTTGTGTAATTTTTTTTTTAATTTTGACCTTTTTTTAATATGACATCATAAAGTGAAATCTAATTAAGTTAAGACTAACTCCAACCCAAATGTGCATTTTTAGCCTCTCAAACTCTCAAATGTGCATTTTTACCTCCCAAAAACACTTTTTTGCTCCAACCCTAAACCTTCTAAATTTGCCTTCCCAACTCATAACCAACCAATCAAAAATTAAGAAAGTATAAAAAAAAGGGCTACAAAAGTGGAGGGCCCCACGTGCCCCTGCATGTGGGCTTTGGCTGCCCCATGGTCCCTACCTTCTCCTTGCATTTCTCCATTTCAGCTGCGCCTGCCATCTATCCACTCCCAAGCCCACTTCTCTAAATTTGCAAGCCAATTTTTATGTGGGTTGGAGAGGAAAAAGTGGAAAAACATACCTTTCTCCAAATTTGCATCCTTGGGTTGGAGTTAGTCTAAGTCACCCAAAAAAGTACCATGTGAATCCATTCTAATTAAACTAAGCCACCCAAATTCCCAAATTTATAAGGAAAAAAAATCAAGCCTCCCGAAAGTTATCCCGCAAAAAAAAAAAAAAAAAAAAAGAACCCAACGAGCGTGCATGCTGGGCACTAGAGGTGGCAATTAGGATCCAAATCCATGAATCCAATTCAATCCATCCACCAAATTATCCACTTAATCCAATCTATTTAAATCCAATCCATTTGATCCAAATCCAATTGGATTGGTGGATTCATGGATCAATCCATGGATCCAAATGGCAAATTACGATTTGGTACCTATATTTTTTTATTTTACATTTTGGTACCTAAAATTTATATTTTTATACGAAAAATATCATTGGAAAATTACATTTTGGTACATAAAATTTTTCATTATAACATTTTAGTGCCAAAACTTTTTAACTTTTACATTTTGGTCCAAGCCTTGGATGTCATTTGGATTGATGGATCAATCCATGAATCCACCAATCCATTGGATCCAATCCATTTAATCCATGGATCCACCAATCCAATCCACGAATCCATGAATCCGATCCAATTACCACCTCTACTAGGCACGAGAAGGGAAGGGAAGGGGGTTGAGCGTGTGACACTCTCTCTGTCCAGCTTGTCTGGCAGAATGAAAAGTGGGTGATCAGGGGTTTGCCACTATTTTTTTATTATTATATATATGGGTCAAATTTGACATCAAATTTCCCAATTTTCCATAAACATAGTCTCATTATGCAACCCATAAATGTGACTGCCAAATTCTCATGTAGACAAACATGATTTATGGTACCAAATGTATGGTTAATGACTTTCTAAATCAATTATTACTGAACAACATTATTTATCATATTATTATCTAATTTATTTATTAGTAAAAAATCACCTTATATCCAGTTCACTTTTATTACGGTTCATTTGTAAGTTGAGATTTCAGCTGATGCGTTTAGGCAATACATGTAATTAGAAGAATTCGTTGTTATTTTTGTCGTAAAATGAAACACAATATTTGTATTAGAATATAAGATAAGCCTACCAAATCATTCATTATGGATGATTCCTAGCTAAAAGCTGAGATTGTCTATGTTTGGCCCGACTTTTAGAATTGCTTTTCAGTTTCAAAGTTGAAGTAGTGCCAAACACCTCTAAAAGCTCGGTTTTAAAAACTGAAAAGTGTTGTTGTATAACATAAAAGCAGAAGTTTCGATTTGGAGCTTCTGCAAAAAAAAAATGTTTTGAAAATACAAGATTATCCATATCAAATTTTAATTTAATTTCAGAAAATATATTTTCATTTCATTTATTTCATTTTTAAAATAAAATAAATTATAAAATTGTAATATTTAATTAAAAATAAATCTAATAAGATTCATTTTGACTAATTTTATTAATTATATTTTTTATTCATATTTTTATTTTATAAATTCTTTTTAGTCATCTTACATAAACTCTTGTATTAAAAATCACTTCTAATAGTCTTTCAACCAAACACTCAATTATTTTTTCTGGAAAATACTTCTCTAAAAGCTACAACCAAAAGCTACTTCTGCCTACGGCAAAACCAAACTAGTCCATTGTCAATCTCTCATTTTTCTCCTTTATTTTTTGAGAGACCATCTAATCATTCAAAGTATTTTTATTAACAATACTGTAAAAAAAATTAATTCTTTTTTTATTCTTTTGACTTTTTTTTATTTTTAGCTTTGGGTTCGGAGTATTCGACTAAGCCTTAATGGCTTTATAAGTCCATTCGGTGGAGCTTAGTTGTCCTACAGTATGTGCGCTTGCGTGTTTGTTTGTTTTTGTAGGGACACGTAGTTTTCCCTCGACCATACAAGCATCCATCTATTATGCTTCTTAATAGTGAAAGTTGGCACGGGCCCACCAAAGTGCTTCATTTGTGGAACCAGGTTTGTGTTGCCAAACAATTGTTGGCCGTTCTGCATGCACGTGACAATAGGAATGACTGCTCTGCTTATGCTATCAGCAAGGATGATCTATCCTCCGATTTCTCTGGCTTTAGCGCGTGTTGTGTACCTACTTGTATCCTTTATTGCATTTATACTGCTGCCCATTTAGTGGCTAAAAAGCTTCTTTTATCGGCACATTGATTAGATATCAACCGTCACATTTGATTATTTCATTCTCTTCATATTTATAAGTATACGACATTGTACACCTACTTATGTCTTTGTACACCTATGATAAAATAAAAATACATAAATTATTTAAATAAACACAACGATGTCTAAATTCTCATCAAACATGTTTTTTCCTAGATTCTACAAAAACCCCTAATTAAGGAAATTGCAAACAAATTACAAAAATCCCTAATCGGCTAATCAGCACTTGGCTGATTTCCGCTATTTATTTTTCCTCCTATGTAATTCCCTACCTATTAAATCCTACCTAAGTCAAAAAAAAAAAAAAAAACTCGACTTCGGAAGGTCTTATTAGAGCGCGAGAGTGATTCGAGAACCGTAGAAACAGCAGCCAGCCAGCAACACCAATTGAGACGCCGTCGCCGTAGGCTCGAATTTGCAGGTCCGAAACCGGCAAGGTAATTGGTATCGCGCCCCCGTCTTCGTTAGCGTAGAAGAATCACCAGAGAGGTTGCCGCCGCTGCAAAAGCCTTCATTTAGCTTAGTCACAGAGGTGCAGAATTTGAGGAAGAATCGGCGAGTGTCAGCTTCCCTGTGAGCTCCGCCTAGGGGCTAGGGGTTCCTCTTGCTGCCTGTTTGCTGTGAATGACCTGAGCAATTGAGTGTCAATGGCATCGGTGTATATTCCAGTGCAGAACTCCGAGGAGGAGGTGAGAGTTGTCCTGGATCAGCTGCCGCGGGACGCCTCTGATATTATCGACATTCTCAAGGCCGAGCAAGCTTCTCTCGATTTGTGGCTCATTATTGCGGTTTGTTTTCCTTATCTCTTCCTAATTAGCACCTCAATTCCTTCTACTTGTTGTATACCAGAATTGTTTTCTAGGGTTGAGATGCATTATACGGTTCCTGCCTTTCAAGTTGTGGTTAGGCCAGTTAGACCTTTGTTTACTTTACTTCAAAATAGTAACTCGAGCTTGGAAAAAATCAGTAGACTGTTTTCTGCAGGTTCATTGTCCTTGTAATGGTGTTGATAGTATTTGGATGATGTGCAGAGGGAATACTTTAAACAAGGGAAGGTTGAACAGTTCCGTCAAATATTGGAGGAAGGATCAAGTCCTGGTACTCCCGATTCCTGATTCACACATTTAGCTTATCTTTCTTTTGCCCTTTTTGGTTCTTTTTCATTCTGTTTTGTATCATCTGTTGGATTTTGTGCTGAATATATGAATCTTGTTTGTGGCAGATATTGATGAATACTATGCCGATGTGAGATATGAGAGGATTGCCATCCTCAATGCTCTAGGTGCTTACTATTGCTATCGTGGGAAAATTGAGACAATACAGAGTAAAAGGGAGGAACATTTCATACAGGCTACCAAGTACTATAATAAAGCTTCGAGGATTGACATGCATGAGCCTTCTAATTGGATTGGGAAAGGTGAGTACAGTAACTGAAGAGTTTGTGTGGATGTATGTTTAAACCTGCACTCATCTACTGATTGGTGCCTTACTATTCCAGAGTTTAGCATGTTTAGAATTTATGTTTGCCATGCAGTAGTTGATTGTCTACGGTCGGATGTATGTCTATTCTGGTGCTACTTAAAGGTCTGAATTCCAAGCTATAAGGAATTTACTTCATATTTTAACTTCCTGCAGTGTGATACCATTCTTTCCTTTTCTGGAAGTATTTTACTTGAATTCCATGTGACATACGGCCCTTAGCTGTTGCTTATCTAATACGGTTTTATTCCATGAGAGTGGACAGAATTTCAAGTACATACCTCTTTTTCCAGGTCAGCTTCTACTGGCTAAGGGTGAGCTGGAACAGGCTTCTTCTGCGTTTAGGATTGTATTAGACGGAGACCGTGACAATGTACCAGCTCTATTGGGTCAGGTACACGGATCTGCAGTCTTGATGAATTCACCGATAGTCATCGTATTATTTTATCCACTCTTGATGCTCAGTGCTGGTTGCATGACTTAAATTTCCCATGCGAATTGTTTACAGGTATTGGTTCTTTAGATTTTATTGCAGTGGTACTTGATTAATCCTTATCTTTCTGGATCGCCATGATTTTGTCCAACTTTCAAAGCACTTGCTCAAACTATATAATGTGTTTCCACTCTTCTTTATTGCTGTCAGCATAGGTCCTTTCGTTCATTCCATATCTATTATAGCCAGTGAAAGATATTAGATGCAATCATTTAGTAGCAAAAACAATGGGGCATTTAACTGCCCTGCATTATAGAAGGCCATGGAGCCTCTTCCTACAGTTCAGACTCATCTAACGAGTTGGCTTGGTACTTTTGCAGGCCTGTGTTGAGTTTAATCGGGGTCATTACAGTGAATCACTGTCATTGTATAGGGTTTGTTATCCTCATTTCATTGCTGCTTGTTTTTATCTATTTGTATGGACTAAGAGTGGCCATGACGCTAGCTATTTTGGCTTCTGTTCAGAGAGTATTACAAATATTTCCTGATTGTCCTGGACCTGTCAGGCTTGGTATTGGTCAGTGTCAGTACAAGATGGGCCACTTCGAAAGAGCCCGAAAGGCATTTGATCGTGTTTTACAGGTAAGTACAAGCATTGCATTTGCACTCGCCTGGCGGGCATCATACAAGTTGGTTATAAGTGATGCCTTCATTTGTATGTTCTTATATGCAGTTAGATCCGGAAAATGTTGAGGCTCTAGTTGCACTGGCAGTTCTAGACTTACAAACAAATGAAGGTTTGTCTGCTTATTTTTTTTCCACATGAAGTTGTTACTTTAAGGCTTGCTAATTTGTCATTTTTCATCTCCACAGCTTCTCGTACTAGGAAAGGGATGGAAAAGATGAGACAAGCTTTCGAAATTTACCCTTATTGCCCTATGGCACTCAATTATTTAGCCAATCACTTTTTCTTCACCGGACAGCATTATGTTGTTGAGCAACTGACAGAAACCGCACTGGCTGTGACCAATCACGGGCCCACAAAGTCACATTCATACTATAACTTAGCTCGTTCGTACCATAGCAAGGTTTGTAGTTCTCTGGTTTGGATATGTTAAGTGCATTCCTCATGTTGCGTTAAAGTTAGTTAATTGTTGGTAGCAGAAGATTGCTCTTACACACAGCCCTTCTGCTATTATGATTTCATAATAATTATAAGAAGTTGCTCAAAAGTAATATCGAAGACCCTGATCTACTTATTGTTATTGAACCATGCTTGGACTGCTTGTTCAAGAGCCATATAATTGAGTCATTCTTGTCCAGGCACCTTCATAAGTATCAGTGATGGCTAAGAATTGTAGGAACCTGGCTACTTCATTCTATTAGTTCCATCTGACCACAGTAGTTAATTTTTAAGTTCTAATATATACGTTTGACTACTAAACACACTAATTTTGTATATTTCATTCATCTGAACTATAGGGCGATTATGCAGCAGCCTTGCGATACTACAATCAGTCTGTGAAGGAAATAAAAGATAAGGCCAGTGATTTTGTATTTCCTTATTTTGGTGAGTGTTCATTATTGTTTCTTTTCTGGTAAACATTGTTCTTTACGAAACTTAGATATATTTCCTCTACTTCCAGCATCTTTACGGTCCTTAGTGTGCAACACATACCTTTACCTTCTATCTAGTTCCTTATCTCATTTATTGTTTTTATATCCTTATTTCTCGCAGGTTTGGGTCAAGTACAACTAAAGTTAGGAGATATTAATGGCGCGATGTCAAATTTTGAAAAGGTTTTGGAGGTTTACCCGGATAATTGTGATACTTTGAAGGTGGGTGATATAACATGTCAGCATCTTCTTAAGCTTTATTGAATCTCCCTTCCTTCTGAATGAACTTCCATGAATTGAAATTTGGTTTGCATATAGGTTCTTGGGCATGTATATGCTCAACTTAATGAGACTGAGAAGGCCCAAGAGGTTTTGAAGAAGGCCACAAAAATCGACCCTCATGATGCTCAGGTGATTACCTTTATTTCTTACATCCTTGAAAGTGAAACCACACCTCAGAAATTTTGAATTTCCTCCCACTCCTATGTGGATAATAGGAAACCAGAGAAGTAATGTTAATGAGACATTCGTTGGGACTTGCATGAGCTTGAATCTCTTACATTGTACTTGCTGTTTGCAGCCATTGTTTTAGAGCATGAAAGTTCATGATTTATCTTGATAGATCATCGTCATGTGCTGTAGTGTCCCTCTATTCTCTTCTCAGTTAACTTTCTCTGATGCCACTACACTAAAGTTCCCTTGTCTGGATAGATAGGGCAGTCAAATTCACTTGTCCTTCTGGTATTCATTAACTTGGTTCATTAGCATTTATGTATCGACTATCCAGTTGAGCCTGATGCCTCACAAAGGGCTGTATAGCAAACTGAGAAAAACTTGTTAGATAGAGTGCTACATAGTTTACTCATTGCCGCCTTTATTCTTTGTTATGTTCATCAGTATGTTTGAATGAATTATGAGAATTGTTGGGATGATATGGCTTTTATTCTATGATATTAGACAGATGAAGAGGTTTGTTTGTACAACGGCAGTTCTGGTCTATCTGGTAGTTTTTCTTGTAGTTGGGGATGGCCTTGGTGTTTGAGGTTCTTTGCTTGAAACAAAGTAAATTATGAACAAATGACTTACGAACTTCTTTGCTTCATCCGGAACTGTTTTGTTTTTCCCATAATCCCAGGATGTTTCTTTTTCTCGTGATTTTAAGATGACCATGTTGAACTCCTTATCACCCTTTCACACTAAGTAACATTCAGTCGTTATAAATGAGTGAAACAAACACGCAGCTGGCTTCTCTCATGTATCTCAAAATATGAGTTGTTTGTTAATGGCATTTAGAATCTGGTTGATCTCTTGGGATGAGATTCATTAGTAGATCAAAGCTCATTCACCTATTGAAACAGCTCTTATACGAAAAGCCACTAGAGCAGTATTTTTTTTTTTTTGGTTCACTACTGAAGAGTTGGAGATTCTTTTGACTGGTTTGATTTGAAGTTAAGTTTGTTCATTTACATTATTTATATTCATCATGATGTTTTTTTTTTTGAAAAGATCATGATGTGTGTTGTTGCACATTGGCATGTCCGAGCATATCCCAGTTTAACCCTTGATAACTGATATATGCTTGCACCAGGCTGTTCATGCTATATGCTCTGAAATATAATTTATTGGGCTTCTCTTATGCTCAGGCATTTCTTGATCTTGGGGAACTGTTAATCATGTCTGACACAGCCACTGCTCTTGATGCCTTCAAGACGGTAAAACCTCATCTTGACTAACCTTCTCGAGTTTGTGATTGTTCTCCTTGAAGTTAGACTTAAAGAAATTGTTGCAGGCACGCAGTCTTCTGAAGAAGTCAGACCAGGAAGTCTTAGTGGAAGTGCTGAATAACATTGGTGTCATCCATTTTGAAAGGGAAGAGCTTGAGGTTTGTTAACTGGTTTCAGATATAAGTATGACCTGTCCAACTTCAGGAAACAGTTAGTTGGTTATTTAGATTTTAGGTAGCTAGTGAGAAATGTAGAGTGACTAGGGCTATGCATAAAAAAGGAAATGTGTTTTTCTTATAGGTTTATTACGAAGAACCCTGACAATAAAAGACTTCTTTAGCTGCCTTCAAATGCATGTTCTGATATTCCTAGGTAATCCTGCAGTTGTGGGACATTCCTGAGTAATGCAATCATTGTAAGCATTGATATGCTGAAAGAATTGGCCAGTTTACTGATTCAGACTTTACGTCGGACATACTTGAGTAGTGAATCATTGAAAGCATCAATGGTGCATCTTAGCATCCTTTTGCTGCAAATCCTGAGGACGCCAATTTGTTGATGATTGCAGGTTGCTCTGGAGGCTTTTAAAGAGGCACTGGGTAATGGTGTATGGCTCAGATTCCTTGACGTTAAAAGCAAGACCACTGCAGCTGATGCTGGTGCATCGATTCTTCAGTATAAGGATGTGCAACTTTTTAATCGACTTGAGGCTGATGGCGTTGAGGTGGAATTGCCATGGAATAAAGTCACGCCTTTGTTCAACTTAGCAAGATTACTAGAGCAGTTGCACAATACAGGAACTGCTGGCATCTTTTACCGTCTTATATTGTTTAAGGTACCGTTTAGTTCATGTGCATGCTTATTATATAGTTGTTTTGCTGGGAGGAATTGGAGTTGCAAAATATAATTCTTGTGAAGTAGTTCTGTTTGCTCTAAGTATAGATTGCATTTGAGTGGAAAGGCAAACTCTTGAATGTTGTGATTAAATTGGAATGCGAAAGTTCTATGCATAATTTTAGGAAAAATGAAGCATATCATGATATTAGTGCTATCAGTAGTTGGCCCTGATGAATTGGAAACTTCACATATGCTTGCAGCATTGCCAACATGTAAAGTTAAACTTTCATGTCTATACATAGTTGTGAAGTTGGCTTGCATTTCTGAGTTTACCATGTTACTTCTGTTCTGTCGCTGCAGTATTGAGTACTACTGAACTTCTGCCTTTCCAAGTGGGCTTTCCTTTACATATGACTCAAATAGAAACAAATATTGCTTGAGCAAATATAATCAAGTGTGGTGTTTGCTTCAATTTTTTGTCATATTTATTTTCCTTTCCTGCATAGACTTCATGTCTTGTTAGCTCCTCAGTTTATGATACTTTCTTTTCTTTGTATGCTTCACCTATAATTCCTTATCATATTTCTACCAAAATCTATATTTTTCCTTTTTCATGTAAGCTATATTTTTCGTGTTTCTTGCAGTATCCAGGTTATATTGATGCCTATCTCAGGCTTGCGGCTATTGCAAAATCAAGAAATAATCTTCAATTAAGCATTGAACTGGTTTTCTTCTGAACCCTCTTTTGTTGTCTGTTTATTCAGGAATTTAGGTGTAAAATTGACGTCGATGGTTTTTCTCCTATTTATAGGTCAATGAGGCTCTGAAGCTGAATAACAAGTGCCCTAATGCTTTATCAATGCTTGGTGAATTGGAGCTGAAAAATGATGATTGGGTTAAGGCAAAAGAAACATTGCGTGCTGCTAGTGAAGCAACAGATGGCATGAAAGATTCTTATGCTACCCTGGCTCTGGTGCTTGTCTTGTCCATATACATCCTTACGTGAATTTTCTTTATCCAGAACCATCTCTAGAACTATTTGGATGACTTCAGAGCAAGTTATGCCATGACTTTCTTGAATTAATGTGAGTTTTGTATTTGCTGCTTTGTCATGGGTAGGGAAACTGGAATTATTTTGCTGCCTTGCGTAATGAGAAAAGGAACCCTAAGTTGGAATCAACTCACCTGGAAAAAGCCCATCAATTGTACACCAAAGTAAGAACTCCTTACATCCTTCCTCCTCTGAGTCTTCCTTTTTCAAAGGTTGCTAACAGATATTGAGATCAAAGAATTACTCAAGTCTACAGCAGGGGCGAATGAAGCAAAAGGGACGTTTTAGGATAAATTTAGTTAGTAATTATATCCATCAAACCAACTCCCTCCAATGAAGATGCACCTCTAAAAAGCAGGATCTCTGTGCTAAACTTCAATTCTTGTTTTCAGTTTAACTCAAGTGACTTACTTTGAATTGGTTATTTGACTTCACAATTAGACCAGACGATGGCCTTCAAATTCTTTTTCATTCCAGATTCCTCATCTAGGTTGCACTTTTGAGCTTTTTAATTCTTGGCGTCATTGTGATGTGTTCAACATAGGTCCTGCTTCAGCATAAATCCAACATTTATGCTGCCAATGGAGCTGGAATAGTCTTGGCAGAAAAAGGTAACTTCGACGTAGCCAAAGATCTTTTCACGCAGGTCAGTCAAACATTTATATTTCTCAATTTTGCATGACAACCAATTGTTCGTTCCAATTAAACAGACTTCTTTGGTAATTGTATACAGGTCCAGGAAGGTGCAAGTGGAAGCAGCTTTGTGCAGATGCCAGATGTCTGGATAAACTTGGCACATGTGTATTTTGCTCAAGGAAATAATGCCTTGGCTATAAAAATGGTGAGTTGATCTTCCTTGTCTCTCAGGTATATGCCTGGCATAAGTTTTGCAAATCCTTCTCACTCCAACACGTTGTTATATGCAGTATCAGAATTGCTTACGGAACTACTATCATAATACGGACTGTCAAATTTTCCTCTATTTGGCACGCACTTATTATGAAGCTGAAGAGTGGCAAGACTGCAAGAAAACTTTGCTGCGAGCCATCCACTTAGCCCCGTCAAATTATACACTTAGGTTTGACGCGGGTGTTGCAATGCAGAAGTTCTCAGCATCAACACTACAGAAGGAAAAGAGGGAAGCAAATGAGGTTGGTTTTGGTCATCCCTTTTAGTTTGTCCCAGAGATCACTCTCGCTATTTTTCCAGAAGAATTTTTTATATTAAATATTCTACCTTCAATGGGTTTCATCACCACGCAAGAAGTACTGAGAATCTTTGGGTGGTTTCACTATCTAGAAATCAAATGAAAAGGGATTTGTAGGAACACCCTCAGTCTTGGAACTGATATGAATAAAAGTCGGTTATTTTCTTGTCTTCTATTACTGTAGGGTCATTGTCTATTATGATTAATCTGGTCTCTTGCTTGATTTTTGGGATTCATTAAGTAGATGGTAAGAAACCTAGGTGTGTGGCTTCCAATACCTGGCCAAACATTGTTACGCCCGTCACGTTAATTGCAACAGATTTTCATGTAAAATGGACCATCTTTGCTTCAGGTTGATATTATTATATTCGTTCAAGAAGGTACTTATATATATATATCCTTCCTGATATTACTACCACAGGTCCGGTCGGCTATTGTTGAGCTGGAAAATGCTGTCCGTGTGTTTAGTCAGCTGTCTGCTGGTGCCAACCTCCAGATCCATGGCTTTGATGAGAAGAAAATAAACACCCATGTCGACTATTGCAAACATCTTTTGGAGGCTGCCAAGGTTCATCTTGAAGTAGCTGAGCGAGAGGAGCAACAAAAACTACAGAAAGAAGAAGCTGAACGGCAGATGTCATTGGCCGAAAAAGTCCGACGCAAGGCTGAAGAACAAAGGAAATTCCAGGTATTGTTCTGGGCGAAACTTTACTATTGGTTTATCAATTAGTGAACCACATCAAGAGCTTAAAAATACACACTTTTTCTTGTGCTGAACAGTTGGAAAAGCGGAAAAAGGAGGATGAAAACAAACGGGCCAGGCAACAAGACGAGGACTTTGAGCGTGTCAAGGTAGTCATGATTATATGGCTAGCTATTCTTATTTCTTTATATGGATTCAGGATGGATCTGATAGAGGCCCCAATATTAATTAGTATGTTCTTGTGTCCAGACTAAAATTTATGGGGATTTGAGGGAGGATTTGTTATTGTGTATTTGCTGCTCTGTAACCTAGTGATTTGTTTGTAGTCATAATAAGGTGCCTTCTCTTTTTCAGGAACAATGGAAGAGTAGTACTAGTTCTGCATCTAAGCGGAAGGATAGACTGGATATTATTGATGATGACGAGGCTGGTGGTCATAGTGGAAGGAGAAGGAAGAAAGGTGGAGGGAAGAGGAGAAAGAAGGATAAAAGCTCGAAGTTTTCACAGTACGAGGAAATGGAAGAAGGAGAAGCTGAGATGGATGGTCATGAAGGGGATGATGGCCATGGAAGTTACTACAGGGAGGAAAAAGATCCAGCTCCTCAGGATCTTCTTGCTGCGGCTGGGCTTGAAGACTCCGATGCAGAGGATGAAGAGGTAAAAGAACTGGCAGGGGGAACGAAAGGAACAGAAAACACTCCCCCCACCCCCCTTCTACTACTTCCCCAAAGAATATATATCTCCTTCAACGCATCTTTTTAATACGCATATTTTCTCTCCGGGGAACGCAGGCTGCTGCTGCTGCGATAGCTGCAAGGAGGAGACGGGCATTGTCAGAATCCGAGGAAGACGAACCAGCGGAGGAGGAAGGGAAGCAACAACAAGCTGGAAGCCCCGAGTCGGGTGAGATGCAGGTGAGTGATGGCGAAGGTGCAGCAGCCTCGCAGCAGCACCACCGCCAGGACAATGATGTTGATGCCGGCCTGGATGATGAAGATTGATTAATAGTGAATCCGGGCCCCAACCAGTGAATGACCAAAAAATACCGCTGGATCGGTATCGCATTTCTAGCTATAAAACAATCAGAAGCGGGGCAACTTTCTTCTAGGTTCAGGTAGGTGAGCAGAAGAGGGGAAAGTGCAACTAGTCTAGCCATTGTAAATCAACAGAAGTGAGCAAGATAAGGATTCAGTAGAGGCGTGATGGATGGTTGCAACATCTTAATTTGAGGCCACATTTGTGTGTTTATTGGGAAATTTGATTATGCTTTGCGATGGAGGAGAAAACTGCATGCAAGGATCATCTGCGGCTTTCGGTTATGCAGCGAAAAGGCGGTGGCGATGCCAGACCTCCAATGTGCTATTTCTCGTCGTTTGCTTTTGGAGTCTGGCTGTTGTAGGCCTCAGAGTTGCGTGTGCAAGGGGAACGGGGTTGTTTTTCTGTTTGTTGCTTTTGTTGTGTTATTTCTTCACATTTCTCAGACAAAATATCCCACTTCAGTAATTATTATTCCAAGAACGGGAGGAGTTACGGTGCTAATTGTACAAGAGTTAGCACCGTCCTAACCAAGGGTTAGTAGTGATTTAGCTTAGATGTTGTATTGATTTTATAATAATCCGTAGTGATTTCGTTGTTTTTAGTAGCGTTTTTTGCTAGTTATCACGGTGCTAACCCCTATAAGGGTTAGCACCTAATCCCATCCCTCCAAGAACACCTAATTACAAAACCAACAACAACAGAATAGCAACGAAGAAGGGCAAACGTATTAGGGCATGGGGGAATTAAAAGCGATAACGATCTGCCAATTGGAGCGCAGGTGCACCATTGAGGCACGTTCGTTTGCATACTTATTACGATACTTATTAGCCACGAGGAGAGAAGTCATAGACCTCTTACCTCTTATTGTTAGCAAAATGCCAACTTTTTTAATAAGGGTATTATAGTAATCTTCCTTCCCCTCTAATTTTTTTTGTCGCACCACCCCTTATTTCCTCGGCTTCTTGCACACAGAGGTCCGTTAATTCTCGTCCCATTCATTACAACTTCTACTAAAAGAAAGACTTGTCATCAAGTCTCAAGAGTCAAGTCAGGTATGGAAATTCAGAAACTTGATCTTGAACTTGTCCAGGAATTCCCCTATGGCGTCCTCATCATTCTAGTGAGAGTATTGTACTAGAATCCGTGCTGCTGTAACACTGTTTCGAGCAGCAATTCTTCATGCCGGGACAACCAAAGGCTCAATCTTCAAGGTTCCATCAGCATGACATCATCCACCTTAGGCAAAGCTGCTTGCACTGTTAACTGTGCCAACTTCAATAGAGAAACTTGAAACACTGGATGAATACTACTTCCTGGTTGCCGCTCCAATTTGTAAGCAACATGTCCCATCTTCTATCTAAGTGATAAAAAAAAAATGGTCCATAGTAATTAGGTGAGAGCTTTTGAGTTGTCCTTTGAGCCAGAGAAGCCTACATGTAAGGTATGAGCTTCACATACACCAGTCATTCTCTTGAAATTCCCTCTCCAACATGTGTTTATCTTTTCAGCCATTTGCTTTTGTTTGTTATTTGCTAAAGCTAGATTGTGCCTAAGCAATCCCACCAACTTCTGCTGCTGCTGCAATTTTTCTGCCACGGCTGCTATAGAGGTAGATAATGGGTTTCGTATGGCAAATTGAGATTGTGGGTGGCCCGTAGCCTTACAAGGCTGGTATGGAAGTTGGCGTTTTACTACCACTCAACCATTCGTAACTAGGCTGCCCAGCTAGCATGATTGTTATGTTATGCAGCATCTTAAGTAGTCTTCTCGCCAACGATCCAGCTTTTCAGTTTGTCCATCCATTTGGTGGTGATATGTTGTGGAATACATAAAATCAGTGCCTTGAAGCTCAAATAAAGTTGTCCAAAAAGTTGTAGTGAAGACTGGATATCTATTAGATACTATGGTCTTAGGCATCCCATAATCTAAACAACCCATCTAAGATTACAAACCGGTTGAATTAAGTCTCTTGGCACCTTTAGAGACAAAGCACCTAATTCACCGCTATTTAATTTGTGACTGTTTTGTTTTAAGTGCAAAGGTTTGTTACCGAATCGTTACAAATTAAATGTTTGTCATGTTTTGAGGTCGGGTAGTTTGTTCGTTAAGTATATAACACTAACCACTTAAACGACATATAAGATGTCAGGTCATGTGTTCATCGACATATTTGCTTTGCCGAATAAGAATGCCCTCAGTTGACCTTTGAATTTCGATACCAAGAAAGTAAGAAAGTACACAGAGTTTTTTCAACTAAAAAGCAGTCTGGAACCCGTTTGTGAGCCATTGAATTCTTTCATTGTCATCCTTTATGACGATCATATCATTCACATACATTAACAAAACCACCATACAACTAGAGCGAATTGTAACGGTGATTGATCGTTCAAACTTTTGAACTTAATTTGTACAAAACGGTCACCAAAAGTCTAATTTGCAACGACATGGTAACAAAAGTTTGAACTGGTATGAAATGGTCACACTGTTTAATTTGTGACCGTTTTGTTCTAAGTAAAAAGTTTTGTTATCAAATGGTTACAAATTAAAGATTTGTGACTGTTTTGTACTAAGTGCAAAGGTTTGTGACCATTTATGCTAATTACCCATTTTATATGTTTTGTTTGTCTCCAGAGATAATAAGAAAACTTTTCCAAACCGGTTTGACAACTTTTTTTTTTTTTTTTTTTTGGCAAAGGTAGTATGTATTAGATAGGGAATTATAGATTGTTAAAAAATAGATAGCGGAAATCAGCCAAAAGCTGATTAGTCGATGCAAGAGCTGTTTTCGCCACGCAATGGGCAGCCCTGTTAGTTCTACGAGGAGAAAATACAAAACGAATAAACGCGAAGGATTCTTTCATCTGCCGGACTTCTTCCAATATCGCTCCCCCACGATTGTGGTCTTGTCGCGCCTCCGAAGCTCGCCGAATCACCGTTTGGGAGTCCCCACAGAAACAAACAGAGGAAAGGCCCCGAGTTAAGCACCAGTCCATTGCATCCCGTAATGCTAACAGTTCCATAATGAATGGATCAAATAAGCCAGAGTAGTACTTACCGTGCGCAAACGAAATTACCCCGGCCGATGCGAACCCCACGAATCCTACGCTGCCACCGACCTCCTGCCGTGTAGCTCCATCAAATCTAACCAGGAAACCGCCTGGTGGGCAATAAGGTTCGAGCTGCTGATGATTTTGCCCCGGCTGACAGGGCAACGCACTTGCTGGGGACGTGGTTGCTGCTGTCCATTCCTCTCTTTGGTGCTGAAATTGCCGAAACAGAGGCCCGGGAAGATACTGGATGTGGTCATAGCAGGACCAGCAGCGCGCTTTCCATATCCGCCATGTTAGGAACACGATTTCCGCCATTTCTAATTTACTGAGGTGTCTAGAGGTTAACACTTGTACCCAGGCCTCGTGGGTAGGTAGCTCTGCTAACTCCTCCCTAAGCTGCGCTTTCCCCGCCAACTCCCAGACTCCACGCGCGATCCTGCAATCAAAAAGACAATGGGAAATTGATTCCATCCCATCCGAGCACACAGGACACAAAGCAGATTCGCAGAGCTTCTTTGTGTGCAGCACGGATTGGCACGGCAGGAAGCCCCTGACTACTCGCCACAAAAACACACGCAATTTTGGAGGGACAGGTAAACTCCAAAGAATTTTCCAGAACCTGTTATCCAACGAAGAAGGAAGATTGTTAAATAAATCAGCACGTTCATCCGATAACAAATGGTATCCCGATTTGACAGTATACTGGCCGGATTCCGAGTAGTGCCAAATAAGGCGGTCCGGCTTGGGAGATAAAGGAATCGGAATTGCCAAAATCCATTTAATGCTGTCAGGGGTGAAAAGGGCTTGAAGGAGGTCCTGGTTCCACGCTCTCGTCAACGGATTAATGAGGCAAGCAACAAAGGGGTTAGGAAGCGAAGTACCTGGAAGCAGGGAAGGGGAAGATGGGGGAGTAGTGGGCAGCCATAGGTCATCCAGAATCCTGATGGCTGTTCCACAACCTACCTGCCACCGTAGTCCTTTGAGTAGCAATCTTCTCCCTTCGAGGACCCCTTGCCATGCCCAGGATGGGCGGTTTCCTGTTGGGGCTCGAAGGAACTCACAAGTGGAGTGGTAGCGCGCTTTGTACAATTGGGCCAGTGTTGATGATGGAGATTGCAACAACTTCCAAGCTTGTTTCGCGAGCATCGCTACATTGAAGAGGTCGAAGTCCCTGAAGCCCAGGCCCCCTCGAAATTTACTAACACAGACAGCCGGCCATGAAATCCAGTGCATCCCTCTGTCTTTGTCCTGACTAGCCCACCAAAACCTCGAAAGCTGACTATTCATCCGACGACAAGTGGTGGTGGGGAGTCGGAACGAGAGCATCGCGTACACTGGGATGGCAGAGCCAACTGCCTTGATGACCACCTCTTTCCCTGCTAAGGACAGCGCCTTGGATTTCCAATTCTGAATGCATTGAGCCAATCCATCCTCGAGGAATCTAAAGGTCTGTACCTTGGAGCGATGAATCTGTGCTGGCAATCCCAGGTAGCGGTCCAGTTCTCCAATCGAATCAACCCCCAAGGCAGCAGCTAGCTCCGAAGCTTCTTGAGCCGTCACATTTGAACTAAAGCACACCTTTGATTTCTGAAGGTTAATCTTCTGCCCGCTGGCCGTCTCATAGAGGTTCAAGAGCTGCAAAAGTTGCGAGCATTCTTGTCGGATGCCCCGTTCCGGGCGGAAGTAGCCATGTGTGTGTCCATTCAGCTGTACAGAGAAGGACACAGTGGTTACACAAGCCTTTATTAGCTTTATCCATCTAGCATCAAATCCTAACGCCTCCATGACACCAAATAAGAATCCCCATTCCACGCGGTCATACGCCTTCTCCATGTCTAGTTTTAGTGCCATCCACTTATCTCTACCTTGATTCTTTGTCTTCAGAAAGTGCATGACCTCCTGAGCAATAAGGATGTTATCCGAAATGTCTCTGCCTTTAACAAAGCCATTTTGGGCAGCACTCACTACTGACGGAAGTACCTGGCTCAAACGGTTAGACAAAACCTTAGAAATAATCTTATAAAAGACCTGGCAAAGTCCTATGGGTCTCATCTATTTCATCGAGTCGGCATTAGGGACCTTTGGAATCAGAGTAAGCTACACAAACAGACCAAGTGAACGGGGGGGCCTACAAATCCTAAGTCTTGGAGACCTGCAGAGTTAATGAAAGACTGAAATTGTTCAACCATGGAGAAGGGAGGGGGGCGGCCTCCCTGCTTCTCCGAGGCAAATAGGACACAATTAAAGTCGCCTAACACTAAGACAGGGGAGACACTCAACGAGATCAAACGGAGCAGTTCATTGAATTGGGAAGCACGGATATGTACAATGGAACTAAGATGCACAAAGAACAAAGCTAAATTCCCCCATACTATATGCTGTAGCTCCGCAAGGATATAGAACGCATCCTTATCTAACACTGAACACTGAACAGCAGGGGCACAAGCTAGAGCTAACCCCCCCGATAACTCTACTGGAGACACGCAACATACTACATTATATCCTAAACGATTCAGTTTTTTATTTACATAATCATCCTCTCTCTTTGTTTCACTCAAGCAAAGGATTGAAGGAGAAAAGCGGCACACAGCTCCAAACAGTGATGGAATCGTCAGGGCGGAACCTAACCCTCGACAATTCCACGCGATGATACTCATCTGGGCTCATGGGACCAGTTAGGGCTGGTTGCCTCCACCACTTCGTTGTTGTCTGCAGCAATCAAGGAGGGATCCTCCTCAAGTCTCTGTTTCTTCCACTCTGGTCCATCGATCATCAAGTCTCGGTCCCCCAGTCGGCCTTGAGCAGGGATTGGGGTTGTATGGCCTCCTTCAGATGGGGCTGCTGCCGGAGAGCAAGGCTCAGGGAACCGGTCCGGTGCTGGGAGCATCAGATGAGCACTCTGTCGACCTTGCGAGGGTGATGGGGCCAGTTCAGGTCGCACCCAGGTGAAGTTCCGACGGCCTAGCAGACTCCGTTCGTTCACTTTGGGACCAGATTTCTTGGAGATCAGGTGCCTGCCGAACGGGGATGGTTTGCCTGCAAGTTCATCCCGGCGAGAGCACTGCTGGCCAATGTGGCCAAGCACTCCACACAAATAGCAAAATTGTGAGAGTTTTTCGAACTTCACAGCAGCAGTAAATTCCCCCTTACCTGACTTTTCATGGGACGCCGGGACTGAGACCGGGAGAGGGAGACGGGAATCCAGCCACACCCGAGCTCGCAGATAGATCTCCGCCGTTTCCTTCGCGCGGTGAACCTCGCCAGGGTCGGTCTTCCCCAGGTAAGCACCAAGGAGGGTGCCCATTTTCCTTGAGCAGCACGATGATGGAACCCCCCAGAATTGCAAGAAGTGAGGCACTCGCCACATCTGTTCAGCCACTTCAGCAGAAACCGCTACCCACGGGGCCAAGTTCACCAGATACTTGGGCAAAATCCAGGGGGCCAGTCTAAGAACACGATTCATATCCGCGTCGGTTGGGAAAACGAATTGCAGTAGGTCGCCCTCCGCCGGAAGAATTGAGATCGAGCCGGAGCAGTTCCAGAGCCCACCCAAAGTGACAAGTAACTGTCGAATTGGTGGCGACGGACCAATCACCTTCCCGAGCAGAGACCTTTCGTTTCGCTCAACCCCTGGAGCGACATCAGCATCACCGAAAACTACAACCCTAGCCTCTGCCATCGCGAATAGATCTCGATTGAAATGGAAGCTTGGAAAGGAGAACCACGCAGCAGAATGAAGAGTACTGCAAATCAACGCCATGGGGAGGGGATTATATAGGCCCATGGAGCCCCTGTCTTCCCCGTCGGCGCACTACGCCGGGGACTCGCACTCGGCGATGCGCACGACGGCGCTAACCACGCTCCCACTCGTCGCAACCAACCGCGCAGAGAGAGGGGAGAGGTTTTTTTTTTTTCCCAATCAACGAGGTCTTTCGGATAATAATAACCCGGTTTGACAACTTTATAAAGTCAAATTATTATTATACCATGTCAGGGTCGGGTCAAAACCCTAAAAAAGCCAAATGACCCGCGCGGCCGCGCCCTGACCCCTGTAAAAATTCACGAACAGCGCAAACCTGTTCTCCATTTCCTTATCGACTGAAAAAGAAAATCCAAGTTTCACCCTAAAATCTCGACCGTCTCTCGGCGGCCGCCGTCCGGTTCCGAGCTTAAGGACGCCGCCAGATTTCCTTCATCGTCGGCAACGAGGCGTTGGAGAAGAGGCACTCCACCACCGACATCGATGGCCGATCCTCGTCGCTCACCGGAAAGGTATACTGTTGTGAAGATTCCGTCGGAGGAGCGTCTGACATTTTCAAACCTCGCCTATTGCTCAGCGGCCGACCATGGGAAGATGTTCGGTGGACATGGCGAACCATTTTTGGTCGCCATTAATGGCGACGGCCATCTCTTTTCTCTGCAATATCCTTTTATTGAGTTTTCTTGAATGGCTCTTCCCGTTTTCTTTTTAGTCTACTGTGTTTGTGGCCTTTAATTGCATTTAAGCCTCTTGATAGTCTTAGGACGGGGGAGATTGCACTCAATGGTAGTCAGCGTAAATGGGCTGCCGCCAATCTCGGCGGACGAGTGACGGTTTCCAGGTATTCCTTCTTTTCCGTGACCGGATATTGTTACTACGATCGACTTCATCTGAGTGTTCCGTTTCTGTGTGCAGATATCAGCCTCCAGCTGATACTGCTAGCTTCAACCTGGTATTCTTAGCGCTTGATTTGACTACTAGCCTCACTATACGAAAAGCGACCGAGGTATGTTTGGATTAATTCTCTTTCATATCGTTTAAAGTTTCTTTAGATTGATATGTTTGCTGTTTGCTCTATAGCTTAAGGCGGATGAGTTTGGACGATATCTCAAGAACCGCTATTCAGGGCAGGTAAATTGGTGTATTAGGTTATATTAGGTCATAGTTTCTCATTTGATGCAACACTTCACATCCTTCCTGCATTATTTCTTTCTCCGCCCAGGTGATTTCACCGGGTCAAATAGTGTCAACTCGCTTCGAGAACATCAAGTATGCGTGTAGGGTGACTCTGTCTATTGGGGCTGATCACATGAACCCACAAGGTTTCCTATCTAGAGATACTAACATCGCCTTTGAGGCAGCTGCTGGTCGCATTAAGGTTAACTTCTGACAACTGTTTCAATCCCTCAATGTTTGCTTTGTTTTACTTTATTCTGCCATTTGGATCTCATTATCTTGTGTCAAGGGCCAATTTGATCTATCTAACTGGATTCTGTTATACTACAGATTGTAAATCAAGATCCCAGACCTCCACCAATCATTAAGGATACGATTGATTTGAAAAGAATGGGTATTGGTGGTCTGAGCCACCAGTTAAGAGATCTATTTCGTAGGATTCTTTCTACACGAGCTTGCCCGCTTGCATTGAGAAGGAAGTAAATGACTATCAAACTTATACAATAAAATATTCTGTTATCAGCATTTTTGTTCTCTTGACTAATTACAATGTTATTATACTCTAGCATTGGGATTCGCAATGTCAGAGGCATGCTACTTTTTGGTCCTCCGGGGAATGGGAAAACTATGATTGCTCGTAAGGTTGCAAATTTGCTGAATGCAAAAGTGCAGGTGTGATCAGTTGATCCTTATATTTTTCGTATATGCAAATAGACTTTGTAGCTACTTATATTAGGAGTTTCTCTCAAGTCAATGAAGCAACCCTCTGAATTGACTTGTATTGTTTTAATTGAATTTCATATCTAGACTGTTAGTGGTCCATCTCTTCTGGATCCATACTTCGGTACGACAGAAAGGAACGTACGAGAATTGTTTGAACCTATCATAAAGGACCAGGTCAAGCTTGGTGAGGCTCCTCTCTGTCTACAGATTTACCTTTTTTCAGGATAATGTGATTCCTGTCTTTTAACTTCGGGGCAATTTTTCTTTCAGGAGAAAAAAGTCCATTGCATGTGATAATCTTTGACGAGTTCGATGCGATAGCGATGGTATAACACTTCCTTACTTAGCTGCTTGCAATTGTTTTTGTTAGCTAAGGTTTAGTATTGACTTCTGCAGAAACGAGGAAGGTCTAGTGGCTCTGGACACACTGACATTATGGTTAATCAGTTGCTTACAATGGTAAGGGGAGAGTATTAATTATTCAATTTACTAATAAATGTGTACAAACTGTCCAACTACTGATCATATCTATGTCGCTGTGAATGTTGATTCTACTATTGTGAATGTTAGATGGATGGGCTGACCCCTCTGGACAATCTTTTAGTCTTTGCAACCACTAACCGTAGGGATCTTATTGACGAAGCATTTCTCAGGTAAATCTTTCTCTTTCAGATGCATCATTTTGATATATTGGTCTTGATAGAGAGGAAATATCCTCTGATATTTCAGCAACCACCACTACTTTACCGTTGCTGTATTGTAGCTAATAGTTGCTGAGTTTCAGCATTCTGTTACAACCACTCTCCTCCATAATAGCTAGAAATCGTTATTTACAATCTGTATAAATGTAAATGGTTCAATAATACAACAAATGGGATTTCCATCCTCACTTACATGGTATCAGAGCCCCAAATTTCCTCTAACGAGGGACTCTGCTTTCTTCTTATTATTGGTCTTTATCATGTTTTCCGAGCCCCTATCCTCCACAGAGGCAATCTGAATTGTCTCTTTTCTTCCTCTTCTTCTCAGCGTCTGTGTCTTTCTTACCTTCACCTCTCTTTTCTATTATGCAAAATGACGACTTCCTACACCACACCATCCTCTGCTGCTCTGTTTATTGCTGACTATGATGGTGGCTTCACGCAGCTAAAGCTTAGCTGCTTTTGCGTCTTCTTCTTGACCTTAGCCGTCTTGTTCTTGCCCTTCAACTATTAGATCAGCAAACCAAAACCCTTCAAAAGTTTCCAATTCCCCAACCCTAAAATATCCAATAATGATAACTTCTCTTCTTCTGCGTCTTCTTCCTAATTACATTATGCTCCTTGCCCTTCTCTCCTTCTAGCTTCTCCCTGTGTGTCACTTCCTCTACTTATCTTCTCTTATTATCCCCAACCCTTTTCCTTTCTATTCTTCCACTTCCACATAATCCTCTCATACCCCTGCTTCTGTTCCTCTTTCCGTATTCTATTTCCTTATTCTACCATACGACAACCATAGCTCCCAAATGAGATAAAGGGCTTTTGCCATTACCAAGTCCTTGGGCCGGCATTGACAGGTCTATTACATTGTCATACGCAAGTGACCAGGGATCGCCAAGAAGCAACTTCGAGCTCATTACCTACCGCTACCAGAACAACTTCAGACGTCCTCATCAAATCATTGGCTCGACTCCCCTTTCATTAATTCTGTTTCAAGTTTCACCTCTCCAAGGTTCCACTTGCGAGGGCGTGATAGAGAGGAAATATCCTCTGATATTTTGGCAACCACCACTACTTTACCGTTGCTGTATTGTAGCTAATAGTTGCTGAGTTTCAGCATTATGTTTCAACCACTTTCCTCTATAATAGCTAGAAATCGTTATTTACAATCTGTACAAATGTTAATGGTTCAATAATACAACAAATGGGATTTCCATCCTCACTTACAGGTCTCTGATGGAACTTCTTCTTCTTCTTTTTTTTTTTTTTTTTAGGCCGGGTCGCCTGGAGATTGAGATTGAGATTGGCCTTCCCGATCTAGCTGCAAGACAAGAAATCCTGGAGATTCATACTGCAAAGCTTCTGGAAAACCATTATCTTGATGGTGATGTATCAATTGAAAATCTTGGTAAGTCCTCTCTGTGTACCTACTTGTAGTGTTGAGATTAGATTGTAGCTAACTGTGGAGCTGCATGTGGTGCAGCTCATCGTACCGACGGTTACAGTGGTGCGATGCTCGAAGGGGTGGTGAAGTCTGCCGTGTCAGCAGCGCTGCAAAGGAATATTGCTCCCAATCATTTAGTCTGGACTGGCGATTACAATGCTTTCAAAGTTCTGGAAAGTGACTTTGTGGCAGCAGTGACTGAGGTTGCACGTGAACATGGGAATGATTGAAGCTTGATGGACTGATAGTTCGTTTTTTTTGCCTTGATGTTGAGTTGTAGAACATACTGCGGCATTGGTTTGGACTCTTGATTTGCAAAAGGTAAGCTCATGGGCCCGTTTGGATCTATTATGTTTAGGGAATACAGTGATTCTGCAGAGGGTTTTTTTGTTGTTGGTATTGTCGAGACTTTAAGATAGGATCAACTGAGAATATGATTTTGAACTGATAGGGTGGATTGAATCACACGTGTGTTTTGTGTTGTTGGAAGCAAAATTGTGTGGGATGAGTTGGTATTGAAATGAAAACTGCACGATGCCATTAAGCTTGGCCCAATCTGTCATATTTAGCATCTTTGATGGCCAGAACCCGTGAACTCTGTTGGTTTTGGTTCGTTTTTCTACTCAATGTTAGAGTGATGTTACATAAGCCTTTCTCCTTAGTATAATGGAAATCCACCCTGCACATGCATTTACATAGGGATGGGCATTGGGCGATTCACCCACCCAAATCAACCCATTAAAATCCGATCCACCATAATATAATATGGGTGGGTATAGTAGGCGGGGTGTGGGTTGCTTCCAGCCTAACCCATCAAAGTATGGTTGCCATCCACCCAAAATTGACAATGAATCCCTAGAATCCCTCATCAAGCTCATCCCTTCCACAATTTGACGATGTGATGCTAATTTCCAGCCGACAGCCACCAGTGATTTCTTCCAAAAATCTTGCTATGCATAACTGTTTGTGCCTGGAATGTACCAAGCGGTTTGTGAGACTCCACTGACCTTGGGCGGCTTCGATGGTCTGGGGCGGTCTTCGAAACCCTGCAGAAAGGTCCTCAGGGGGTTCCTGGGACCTCCTCCGATGCTTAAGTTAGAGAGAGAAGTGAGGAGAAAGTAAATAAGAGAGAGAATGGAGTTGGTAGAAGTTACCATCAATGTGGTTCGCAATTGAGTATTTATACTAGTGCGGAGCAGACCATGGGCATTTAATGGCTTGTCGGGCGTCCTGGGACGCCTTCGACAGTTCTGACGCTTCCGTACCCTTTTCCAGGCTCCGTACGGATCAGGTCAGAGCCAGGTCTCCCTTTGCCATTGTGTCGGGCGGTTACGGGACGCCCTTGACAGTTCTGACCTTTCTGCTCCTTTGTCAGGTTCCGTACTGGTGGGGTTGGGACTAAGTGTCCACGTGTCTCTATGTCGGGCGGCCATGCATACACGTTTGGACGCCTTTCGCGGTATCCAATGGGAAAGACCGCCTTTGGCGGGCTTTTTGGTGGCTCGTTGCCCCTACTCGGGCCCGACTCGCTTCTTTACGATCTCAGAGTCTTTATGGGCTTGGGGCCCAAGTGTCTCACTTCTTGGCCCAATCATGGGTCTTACGTTGCTATGGGCTTGGAGCCCAGTCGCCTCAATATTTGGCCCAACAATAACCTAATTAGTTTTTGTTTCCAACTTTGACTCCAAGTTCCTCCCCTTACTGCTTTTCAATCAAACTTACTATACGGTTTATTGAAACTTTTTCTCAAGCTTCCTCTCTTTCTCAATCGAAATTCCCATTCAAGTGGACTTGCTGCCCTGCTCTTCCGGGCTCGCGGACAATGGGAAAGCATGATGATTCAAATGTCGGTTTCTCAGCAGTTACATTACCAAAATTGGCCAAAATTGGCCAAAAGAGATAGCTTTTCCCCATAATTATGAGATGGATATCACTATTATCCATTCAGTCATTAGGTTGGCAGCATACTAATCAAATTGGTTTGACTATTATCTATTCTTGCACTATTATCTATTATTTCAATAGTAGGCAGCATGCTATGGTTCTTTGGCTTAACACTAGCCATAAGTATATTAATGAGTTACCTTCCCTTTACAATGACAGGTTAATGCTAATCAAATTGGCAGCAACAATCAAGTTCTGAATGGGAAGCAACAGAGGCAAAACATCCAAACTTCACCACAAGCACCCAATACTAATGCAGCAAGTTAGCAGCCTAAATCTGATGCAGTTGTTGGATGTAAAAGAGCTAGAAACTCAGAAGGGAAAAAGAAATCTGTGGCTTGGCAGCATTTCACAATGGTGGCTGAAACGATAGGTACAGATATGCCTAAGGCTGCTTGCAATTATTGCAAGAAGGAATATTTTGCTAATGGTAAACAACATGGAACTAGTAATTTGAAGAATCATATTGAGGAGTGTAAGGAATATGAGAAGATTAGGAGTCAGCTGGTGCAAAAGACACTGCAGATGTAGGAAGAAAAGCATTAGCTAAGATGATTGTAGTGGATGAGATGCATTTTAAAATTGTGGATGGTGAAGGGTTTAAAGAGTACTCAATGGCTCTGTAGGTTATTCCTTCCAGATACACTGTCAAAAGGGATTGTATGAGCTTGTATGTGGAAGAAAAGGAAAAACTGAAGCAACTTCTGAAAGACCAGTGGGTGTGTTTGACCATGGACACATGGACTTCACTTCAAAATATCAACTACATGTGTCTCACAGCTCATTGGATTGATGAGCAATGCAAAATACACAAGAAATTTTGAGTTTTCCCAACATTGCTAATCACAAAGGGGAGACTATTGGGATGGCTGTTCTTAGCTGCTTGGATGATTGGGGGATAGAGAAGATATTCACAATCACGGTGGATATTGAGAGTACTTACGATGGAGCTATTAAGCATATCATTAGGAGAACTAAAGATGGAGCTCAGACTGTGTTAGAGCATGCATACATACATGTTCGATGTTGTGCTCACATTCTGAATCTTATAGTGCGAGATGGATTAAAAGATTTGGATGATGCAATAATCACGATTCGGAATGCAGTTAGATTTGTCAATAGTTCTCCAGCGAGATTGCAAAGTTTCATGTAGTGTGTTGAGGAGGAGAAGATCGGCTAATATGCCTAGATGTTGAGACAAGGTGGAACTCAATTTTTCTTATGTTAGAAGTTGCTGAGAAATTTGAGAAGGATTTTGAGAAGTTAAGAGTTTGATGATCCTCGCTATGTTTCATACTTTACAGGCGGTGATGAAGATGGAGGGGACCAAGATGTCATTAGTGTGCAGAATGAGATATCTATTTGCACAAGGGGTAGAGGAAGAAAGAGGCTCAGAATGCTTGGTCCACCTTCTAGTGAGGACTGGAAAGACGCTAAGTGTTTAACCGAGTTTTTGAGGCTTTTCTACAACGCCACTCTTAAGCTTTCTGGTGCTCAGTATACTACTTCTAACCAGTTTTTCCACGAGCTTGTCGCTTTGCAGCAAAACATCATGACCATGACTGAGAGTAATGATCGAATATTGAGTTCAATGGCTTTCAGAATGTTGTCCAAGTTTACCAAATACTGGTCGATTATGTGAACTCTTTGTTGCACATAGCTGTGGTCCTAGATCCAATATATAAGCTAAAATATGTGGAATACTGCATGACACGACTTTGCGGAGAGAAAAAGGCTGCTGAGTTTGCAGAAGATCTTGAGAAAAAGCTGGTTGAGCTGTATGAGTATTATTTGGAAGAAAATCCTAATTCTGGGCACTCTAAACATGCTACTTCCGCTGCTAGCCTTGATATTTCTGCTGATTTACTGAATACAGATCCTGCAAAAGCTCTTAGACTTTAGTTTGCAAAGGAACATGCATCTTCTGCTAGCATTGGAGGGAAGTCAGAAGTTCAGCGATACCTTTCTGAAGTTGCAGAGGGGGAAACAGATGCATTTGACATTTTATTCTGGTGGAAAATCAACTCTTCCAAGTATCCAATCATAGCACTTAGCACGAATTGCAAAAGATGTGCTTGCTGTGCCTGTAACAAGTGTGGCTTCGGAGTCAACATTCAGCACTAGGGGTCGTGTACTTGATGCATATCGGAGCAACTTAGTACCAACTACTGTGGAAGCATTGATTAGCTGTCAAGATTGGTTGAAATCTTCTGGACACTCCATAGGGGTTCATAATGCATTCCCTGGTATCGGTAAGTTTTTCTACCTTAATTCATTTAATGATCTTGTTATAACATATATTTGTAACTTTTTGCTAGTAGTGTCAAAATGCATAAACATTTAGCAGCCTCCTGTTTAAATAGCTTGTTAAGACAGTGAGCTTTGTAATACTGTCGAAGGAATTATGGATGATTCTGCAGTTTTAGGTATAGAATTGTAAAGAGACCAAGATGTGTAACCCTTGTTGGGGGAGCACATAGAGCATTAATAAGATTTTTTATATAGCCCATAAAAAAAAATATGGATGATTGCTGAATTTTTCAAGGAGCTTGTACTACTAAATGATCAATATTTTAACTTATCACTGTGATTTTTTTTTTGACAGAAGCATAAGAGGATTAAGAAGATCATGGATATGCTCCTGTTGATCTTGTTCCTTTGGGGATGTAAGTATGAGTTGCTATGCCAAGTAACCGTGTTTTTTAGATGGATGTTTGTGATCATATCCAGCAACCGTATTTTCTGTTCTTGGCTGCCTTACTAATATTATTAATAGATCATCATGTTTTTTATGTCCTTTATTACAGGTTGGAGACTTGGAGTCAATAAAAGGGACCAAAAGGGAACAAGTCAGAACTCGAACTCAGAAGCAACAGAGGAATGGGCACTATTGGGTGGCGCCTAACATTTGAAAATGTAAAGCGCCTAGGTTGGCCAGGTGCTTCAAATGAGGGCACCAAAGATTGAGGTGCCAACGACGAGAAAAAAGGGGTATTCGGCAGACGCCTAGGCTAAAAGGAGTATGTCAAAGGTGCAGGCCAGCATTGGTGAGTCAGGAGCCCATGATGGGAGTACAAGCACGCGCAGACCGGTTCGACAAAAGAAGACGATTGAAAGGCCAAAGGGGGTTAGGCGCCTGCAACAAGTGAATTCTTAGGTACGCGCGGAGTGGATGGGCGCTATTGGGGCGACGCCTAACATTTGAAAACGTAAGGGCGCCCCGATTGAAGGGAATGGGGAGCATCAGTGCCACTAAATGACGATCAATCTTGGGAGTATTACTAGAATGAGCGCCTCTCAAAAGGTGTGTGAGAAACGCCAATCGAATAGGAAGCAACAAGTGCGTCAAAGGGCGTAGTTAGGCATTTAAGAAGTGAAGGTTGAGCGCCTAATTGGGGGGTAATTGTTGGGGGTATTACGTGGGCCTGCCCAAATATGGGCACAATATGATCTAGTAGAAGAAGAAAAAGCTCCATTATGAGGTAGGCCCATGGGTAGTCCTATTGGGTCGGGTCCATGCATGAAGTGGGCAACCTAAAGACAAAACTCAGGAAACTCAAAAGAAGTACGGATTGCCTATGTTCCCCCTGTTGGGCGCCTATCAATTGTCAGAGGCCTGACATGTCGGTCAGGGGCCTAGTCTGACAGAAGTTTGGAGCATTAAATGTGTCGCTAGCGTGGAGCTGGGTTGAAGGAGCCCGGTCTAGAGTTGGGTGAGAGTAAATAGGGCCGGTAGGTAGCATTTATAGAGGGGGACTTTCACACTAAAAAACTAGAGTTAAACACTTCTCTATCTAAACCCCGGACTAACTTGATCGTCAGAGGATTAACGGGCCCAGGCGCCCACCTCTGTGTGCATCTGTGCAGGCCAGACGCTTAGGAATCAGTGAGCAAGGAGTGTGTGGCGAAGAAGCAGACTCTCGGGTATCCGGGAATAAACATAAACCATGCCAAACTTCTTTCACAAAACTGCAATTGATGAAGAGATGGTTGTTATTTTCTTCCTCCCTAGCAAAGCTCACACAGCAAAGAAGCAAATTTTGGATGGGATGAAGTGTTTCCAAACTGTCGAGTGATGATAATAAGCCCGGCACACTAGAGAGCAAACAAGTATCCCAAAGAGTCGTCGAGTTAACCTTAGTACCAAGTATTACGACATAATAATCAGGTATAGGAACATTGCACATAGTATACATGATTGATTTGTCCAAGTTGATCTTAAGACCATTGATGGCTTGAAAGCAAACAAGAGTGCTAAGGATGTTGAGGACTTGCTCGTGAGAAACATCACAAAAGATGAGAGTATCATCAACAAAAAGCATGTGAGTAACCTCACCTTGCCGATAAAACTCGTCCATTAAAAAGCCTTCAATTAAGCCCGGCACACTAGAGAGCAAGAAGGAGAGAACATCCATAACCATAGTGGACAAGCTGGAGGAAAGAGGATCGCCTTGTCTGAGGCCTTTATGAGCCGGAAAAAATCTCTTAGATTCTCTATTAATTAAGACCGAGAGCTTGAAAAGGAGAGCAAACAACGCCCTTGATCCAATACAGTCATTTCGATGGAAAGCCAAATCTGGAGAGCACCTTAAACAAACAACTCCAATAGACGCTATCAAAAGCTTTCTCAGTGTCAAGCTTGAATTTAAGGCCTGGTTTTTTGCTTTTCCTCCTACTATTAATGAGTTCATTTGAGATAAGACCAACTTCTGATATCTGTCTACCATGGACAGAAGCATGTTGGTAGTAAGACACAATGCTAGGAAGCACCACACAGTGTCATCGAGAGAGAACTTTATTAATCAGCTTGTTGATGCTTCCCATAAGGCCAATAGGTCAGAGATCCTTGACTTCTTCAACATAATCCTTCTTGGGGACAAGGAAAATGAAAGAATGAACCGCACACCTGGAGAGAACCAAAAGAATGAAATTCCATAAAAATCTTCAAAAATTTAGCCTTGATCCTAGCCCAGCATCTCTTATAAAATGCAAATGTAAAAGCCATCGGACCCCGGAGCCTTATCACCATCACAATCGACCAAAGCTTCCCAAATTTCTGATTTTGTGAATGGTTTAGTAAGTAAGACATCCTCATCTTCTCTTAGGGGTCGTTTGCTTGTTGGATTTGGGTCATGGATTTGGTACCCAAATCCCAAGCTTGATGGATTTAACATAAGTCCATTGTTTGTTGAAGGGTTCTAAATTCGTGGGGTCCACGGATTTGGTCTTTATTTTGGAACCAAATTCGTGGACCCCACGAACTTGTAAATCCCACATATTGATTTGGGATTTGCAAATCCTTGATGGTTAGTTATTTATTTAACAAATCCATCACAAATCCATCATCAAATCTATCATGCAAACATTAGACTCTTCAAATCCATAATCCAATAAATCCAAGGCAAAATACACTTGTGTAGCCAAAATTTGATGGTTTTGCCAAATATAGCCACTTTTGGCTAAATACCAAAAATAGCCACTTCCGTCCAATTCTTTGACGGTGTTAACCAAATGGCTGACTGGACTAACGGAGTGGCTGAGTTGACGACAATTAATAATTTAAAATATGAGGTGGAAAATAAATATAAATTAAATACTTTTTTCTATTTTCACTCTCCTATCTCTCTTACTTTCCCTTTCCCAGCCTATGAGATTTCCTCTTCTTGCGTTTTATTTTCCCCAACGCAATAAATCACTCCCTCTCCCCTCGCGATTCATTCACTCTCTCAATTTAGGGATTTTCCTTTTCCAGTTTCCCTCCCTTTCCTCTACTGATCGATTACCACAATGGGAGGAGGCGCAACCATGAGAACAGTGGCCAAGGTCGTTGGTATCGGCGTCGTCAACAACGGATTCCACGGCGTCGCCGGGATTCGGGCAGAGCAAGGAGAAGGGTGCAGACAGAGCAAAGAGAAACAGAGAGGGATCGAGAAACCTCTTGGGAACCCAAAATTGAAAACCCAGGTCGATTCACTTTTGATTTCTGGGGCTATTCAAGATCTGTGAAAGAAGAAGCGGCTAGCGATGGCGTCGGAAGGCATAAGAGGAAGGTGATTCATCGGAGGCGACGCGGACGGCATAAGCGGCAGGATCTTGAAAGTAAAAGCTCTGGATGGTCGTTTTCAGCCTTGTTTGTGTTTGGGTTTCGTTCGTAGAAGAACAAGAACCAAAGAAGACATATCAGATCTGGAGAAGCAGGGTTCACTGGTCGCTTGGTTCGTTGGTCGATCAATGGGAGATACTGGATTTGATTCTCGAAAGAATAGGGGGCAGGGAGTTGAATTGGAGAAGATGAAGAAGGGGATTAAGAGACGGAGAGTTCATCTCTTTTTTTTTTTTTTTTTGTTTATTTATGTAATTAATAATAAAAAAGATAAACATTTTCATTTGGAATATTTTAACGATTTTTTTTTTCTTTTGTAAATGACGTGTCGTCTAGCTGTCAGTGAATGTTGAGGTGGAAAAGAAAGAGAAAGTGAGTTGGCAGCCAGATCATCATTCCGTTAATTTGACCAACGGTGTCACTGACGCCGTTAAACTATGTAACGAAAATGGCTATTATTGTCATCAAACTTTTAAAATTTTGGCTATTATTGATATTTTCTCAAAAGTGGTTATTATTGTCACAAACGTCAAAGTTTTGGCTACACATGAATTTTGCCTAAATCCAACATAAATCCCAAGATTTTTATTGACCAAAACCCTCATTTTTCAAATCCAACAAGCAAACGACCCCTAGTTGTTTGTCAATGAACACGCCTGGAAAAGGGCGGTCAACGATATCTTCCTGAAAGAGATTCTGATAGAAGCTAAGAATGTCCTGCGAAACAGCCTCTTCTCTGTTAGCAAGCTCCCAATTGATTTTAATTCAACCAATGTGGTTGAATTTCCTTCTATAGTTTGCCATTTGATGAAAAAATCCGCTGTTTCTATCACCTACTTTCAACCATGGGATGTTTCAAAGATTTCATAATGGGAATGGATATACAACAACCCAACCCACTGCCATGCCTGGAATAAGAATGCTATAAATTAAAAAAAAAAAAAAAAAGATAAAGAAAAGAAGTTGAATAAAAATCATATGATAACTTTATTTTTACTGTTATAAATAATAATTCACACAATCCAACTAAACAACAATCTTATGAAATCTATAATAATCCAAACTGGTCACTAATTCTTCACTTTTCAAAATCAAAATTTTGAACGGACCAACAAACGATCCCTTTATTGTCAGATCGTACATTCTCCTTAATGTCAGATCTCCATGGCCCTCTCAATAATAATTTGATTATGTTGATTGGAAATCCATCATTCCACTAGGCCTGAAAGACGGATAAAAAGAGTTACAAGTTGATCGACTAAGCGCGATTACAAATAAATCATTTTGTTCAGTTCACAGAGATTACCTGGACGCTAATGGGTGCAGTGCATGCAAGAAATCTTCCATTGTGATTTTAAAACTCTCTTCATCAAAACCCATCTTCGTCGGATGGACACTTGACGCTCTGTTGAAAGCACACGACACAGAACTATTCACCAAAGCTTCAAGCTCTGCACCACTGTACTTCTCTGTGCGAGCAGCTGTACAAAGAGGACAAGTATTATAAATTACCAACAAACAAACTCGATTTGCTCATAAGGTACTCTATGAACTTGGCTACTTGACGTCACAAACGAGCCAACTCATGAGCAAAACAAGATTTAGCTCAACTAATGAACGAGTATTGGTGGTGGACGAGTTTTTTCCGTCCAGCCGTGACCCTAACTAGGGATGATATGCAGACATCAGAAACACGTACCAAGCTCCTGAAGGTTCACATCAGGAGCAAGAAAGGAGTTCTCCATGTTGTCTGTAAGAATCTCGAGAATCTGGAGGCGACCACTTTCATCAGGAAGGCTAAACTTCACTTTAAGCTCGAACCGGCCAGGTCTATACACCAGCAAACAAATTTGATCAGGGACAGTAGCCAGAATTTTATATACAATGCTTCTAGGGCTTGATGATACAACATAGCAGTACCTCAGTTTGACATGGTATAGATTATAGTTGCGAAATATGTGATAAATAATATCAAGTAGCAGAATGTCATGGAGCAGCCCTTGTATGACAAACGCTTGAAAGTGATTCAACTATCTAAAAAAAATTATTTCAATATCCAACCAGTCTAAATGGAAATCGTGACTAAGCCATTCTGATGACGGGTCAGATGTAAAGGGACAGTGTATACCAAAAATATGCAACTGAAGAGAGAAAAACCTTAATAGTTCTTCGGGGAGCAAATCCTTTCTATTGGTCACTCCAATAAGCAAGATATTGTTCAGCGCCTTCATACCATCCATCTAGAATTCATAGAGAAACAATGATGTAACAATTTATACTATGTTTAGGCGTTTAGTAAAGACAGCAACCAACCACTCTACAGTTTACCTTTGTAGCCAACTGCTGTACGATGCGGTGACGAGCTACTTCAGCAGCCCTTGTTGATCCTCCCATCTGCAAAGTTAAACTAATAAATGATATCCAGGAATGGACACAAAAAAATTATATACTAACAGAAAAGGCCAGACAATTACGACAAAAAGGAATAATTAATAGGTTAACAGTTGAAAATCAAAAGTGTTTAATCCGCATTTAGGATAATTTCATAGGAAGAATTTTAAACCATTTCAAGGGATAAAATTTCATTACCATATCGTTGTGATCTAGATTTCATCACTACTGCAACTAAAGTTTAAGAAACACTGCATCCAGGGCAAACTTGGCTAGTACTTTACCTTGCATATAGCATCAATTTCATCAAAGATTATCACATGATGTTTACTTTGATCACCTGAAAGGAAACATTTACCCAATCCAGTTATCACAAGAGATCATGTCATGCCAGAAGCACCTGAAGACAGAGGGATCTTACCACGCTTCCGTTGATCATTTTCGGCATCTGCAAACAGATCTCTAATATTCTTTTCAGTT